GCATCGCCATCATCGGCAGCGGTACGTCCATCCCATCACCCATTGAGCAGGACTGACACGATATAGGCAACTTTGCCCGCGAAGAACACCTCGTGAGTACTAGCTAGCCACGACAACCACCGGCACCAGCTAACAAGCCAGCCCCGACTCCGCGCCTCCCCCGACTTCGACCTCAAAGCCATCTACTCGCGCTCGCGCCAATCCGCGCAAGCCCTCGCCGGCGACTGTGACGTTGCCGTCTACGCCGAAGATGCTGGCCCCGGCCACCGCTACGAGGACCTCCTCGCCCGCGCCGACATTGCCGCCGTGGTGATCGCGTACGTCGCAATCTCTCCCTTACCTTGAACCTGACTGACTGTGCATGCACCAGTCTCCCCATCCTGGTCCAGCCCACGTTCATCCGCCAGGCGTTACAGGCCGGGAAACACGTCCTGTCCGAGAAACCCATCGCCAAGGACGTAGCCACGGCGCGCGAGCTGATCGCGTGGCATCGCGCGCATGCGCAGCCCGCACAGGTGTGGGCGGTCGCCGAGAACTTCCGCTACATGGGCAAGTTTGCGCGGGTGGCGGAGGAAGTGCGCCGGGCGGGCGGGCGTGTCACGACCTTCCGCGTGTTGGTGCGGAGCTTGGTCAAGACCGACTCCAAGTATTACAGTACGCTTTCTCCCTTCTTATTCCTTGCGCTGGGGAGGTGTTGGCTGCTACAATGGCGGGGGCGGTGCTGATGTCTACAGAAACGCAGTGGCGGCAGACGCCCGGCTACCAGGCGGGTTTGTGCTCGACGGCGGCGTGCACATGGTGGCCGGCCTACGACTGGTGCTGGGCGAGGACGCCCTGTCGACGCTTTCGGCGGTGTTGTGTCAGCAACAGGCGCACCTCGCGCCGGTGGACACCGTCGACGCGGTGGTAAAGACGGCCGCCGGGGCGACCGGGGTGGTCTCGCTTTCGTGGGGATCGGACTGCAGCGACTTTGTGTTTGAGTTTACGTGCGCGAGCGGCGCTGTTGTGCGGCTGGTCGGAGACTGCGTGACCGTCAACGGGGAGTCGTACGAGGTGCCGTTCGAGGGGCGCGGGGTGGATAAAGAGCTGGCGGAGTTTGCGGCGTCCATTGCGGCGGGCACGGGCGAGGCGCCGCATCGCCTGCGGCCCTCCGAGGCACTGGCGGACTTGGAGGTGATGGAGGGGATGTTTTGGAGTGGGGAGCGTGATGGCGAGCGCCGGCGGTTGGAGTGTCAGTGATTGTATAGAGCAGAGCATCATAAAGGGATAGATTAGTTAGACGATAGATGTGAATTCACGTGACTGCGATGTATTACATAAGACAAGGGCTACGGCAGCCCTAAGTGCGCGGCCCAAACGGGCAACTCGCTTAGCGATTCACTCGCACCGACTCCCGAGCCGGACTGGCAAACCTCTCAGCGCGAATTTCGAGCGATCGTTTTCGACCCGTACGACAACCAGCGCCAGCCACGGGCCTACGACACCGACAAGGTGAGTTTTTGCTCTCAATCTCTTGCAATCGTTCGTGATATTAATACCGTCCAGATGGTCCTCGCAAAGAAGCACGTCCCCATCGTCAAGAAGCGTATGTTGCATCCTATCCAGCCCAGCCCGTCCAGACCTGTCCAGCACACCACACACACCGTTCCATCCGTATATCTTGCAAAGTGTCGAATGGAATGTCGAATGAGGAATACGAAAAATCGAACAAGAGGGGGTAATTGGTATCTGAGTTGATGGAGATCTTTGATGAAAATTCTGGTTGACAATCGACTACGGTACACCTGATGAAAATTCGACAACTAGCGGACATTGCTTGATATACGGAGTCGACGGACGCCCTTCCATTTTCATTCCACATCAACGACACCTGCACGATCAACGGGACTGACATTTTACAGGCACCAAGAAGTTCTGGCGCCACCAGTCGGATCGCTTCAAGTGCGTGCCTGAGTCATGGCGCAAGCCCAAGGGTATCGACAACCGTGTCCGTAGACGGTTCAAGAGCAACATCCCTATGCCCTCGGTACGTCCGGCCTGCGAGACCGCAATCGACCAACCTAGCAAGTCCGACCCATGCTAATGAGATCAGATCGGCTACGGCAGCAACAAGAAGACCAAGCACATGATGCCCTCCGGCCACAAGGCTTTCCTCGTCCACAACCCCAAGGACGTTGAGCTGCTTCTCATGCACAACCGCACCTACGCTGCTGAGTACGTCCATGAGAACATTCGAACGGAAGAAATCAGACCGCTAACCAACGCAGGATCGCCCACGCCGTCTCCTCCCGCAAGCGTGTCGACATCCTCGCCAAGGCCAAGGCCCTCGGTGTCAAGGTGACCAACCCCAAGGGCCGTGTCACCACCGAGGCCTAAATGGTTTCTCCCTTTTAAAAACAAAATCTTTCCTATTATACCAATTGGACCTGGATGGGGAATGCTCGGGCAGTGGCAAGGTGTCGCTTCGGTTTTGTATGGTCGTGAAATGAATCAATCATCGTGGCGATAACGAATTGTGCATGACTTAAGATAAAAGTTCCTACCACTAGGGAATAATGACATTTCCTGCCGACTTGTGGTTGTAGCGTAGTTTATTACTGAAATGCGCTCTATACAATAGTGAAAGATAACTCCAGCATGCAGTCGGTCTATGTAGTCGCCGTCTCTACCCCATTCTCATACGCAGAAAGATCAACCATCCCAACGCCCCGCAGCAGCACCGGCGCATTCTTCTTCCTCCCATCGTCCTCTTCCTCCATGCCCTCCGGCACAGCACCGCACCCGATCACCACCTCCTCGCTCTCCGGCACAGGCACCCAATCGGGCGCCTCACGCGGTCCCTCGAAGCCTTTGGGCGGGAGGCCCCACGAGGGCATCTTGCTACGGTACTTCCAGTCGCCCTGGGTGTCGGCATACGCGACCGCATGCAGGAAGATGCCCAGCTCGTGCACGCCCGGGTCGGTGTACAGCTCGGTGCCGCAGTCGGGGCACGTCTCGCCGGACAGCCGCTCGCCCTTGCGCTTGTGGTACGCCTCGACGGCGGCCTCATGCTCGCGCGACATGATCATCTCCATCGTCGTGGTCGACGTGCCCGGCGGCACCGCCGGCGGCGTCGTGATCAGCGTGCGGTAGCTCGTGGCATCCAGCACCTCGGCCACCTCCGTCTTGCCCATCGCCGACAGCTTCTCCATGATCTCCTCGTCGCGCTCGCCCGAGCTGTCGTTCTTGCCCAGCTCCTCGCCAAACACCCGCCGGTTCGAGTAGATCGGGTCGTTCGTGATCGGGTGGCCCAGGAACTGCAGGTGCACCCGGATCTGGTGCGTCCGCCCCGTCAGCGGCAGACAGTGCACGATGCTGTAGCCTTCGTCTTCGTTGGCCAGCGCGGGCGGCGGTGTTGCCGCACGCTCCTCCCCTTCTCCCTGGCTGTCCTCCTCGCCCGCTGCCGGGGCAGCCGGCGGGTAGTATGCGATGCGGCGGAACTTGGTCTTCGCGTCCTTGCCCGTCGCGCGCACGCGGTTTAGCCCCAGCTTCGGACTGACCTGCATAATGGGCTGGTCGCAGATTACGACGCCATCCGGGAAGCGGCCCTTGACGCGGGCGATGTACTCCTTCTGCACGGTGCGCTGCTGCAGCTTGGCGCACATCTTCTCGGCGCCCTTGGCCGTCTTGCCGATGAACATGACGCCCGAGGTGAGCCGGTCGAGCCGGTTGCAGGGCCGCGGCATCCACTCAACGCCGTTCTCATTGCGCAGGATCTCGATGATCGAGTTGTAGTGGTAGCGGCCGGCGGCGTGGACGGGCACGCCCGCCGGCTTGTCGATCACCAGCAGGTCGTCGTCCTCGTGGATGATGCCGATGGGGAGCCCCGTCACCGGTGGTTCGTGCCGGTGCAGCGTGTGCTGCAGCTTCTCGCCGTTTTTGAGGATGCGGTGCGGGGCCGGCGACTTTGCCGTCGACTTTGACCTTGCCTTCCGCTAGGGAGGTTTTCTATAGAGGAGCGTATGTTAGCTACGTAGGACCGTGGGGATAAGGTGACAGGTGACGCACGTAGTACTCTTCAGGGCGATCGCGAAACTCGGACGTGAAGATGTCGACCAGCTCGCGGCCCCGCCACCGCTGCTTGCAGTACGTGTGGTATTCCCAGTAGTAGGGCTTGACGCGACGAAGACCATGCTCAAAGTAATACGGCTCCGGTAGGGGTCGCCCGGGGACGACGGGCTCTTCAATGGACATGCCCGGGGCCATGGTGGAAGGTGGGGGTGAGCCTCCTTTGGCTCCTCGTCGGAACAGGTAGGCGAGAGTGCGCGTGAAGAGAGCCAAGTCGACAGCTATGACATGGATTGTTTGGTTTGTCGTATACTATGGAGAGGATTGAGGATGTGGTGAGAAGAATGAGAAGTGTTCCTGGTTCCTGAGAAGTTTTGGTGGCGGCAAGAAAATTTCATTGCGGGGAGCTAATCTTATCTAAGATAACCATCACCACCAATATACAGATTGTATAGCTGCACTTCTACTATATGCATTGACTGATAACACGCTCCTCTATCTCTATAATTCGGAGACTACTGTTGAGCCTTCGTCCAGATATCCTGCGAAGCCACCACCGTGCTAACCACCATGGCGATTCCCACTCCCAGATCGCCGACCGGCGTCCATCCAAGAAACGACCCAGGCAGAGTCAAGTCGCACGCATCCACGACCATGCGCTTAAGGACCGCCGTAGTAGATGGAGTAGGCCGAGAATTCGATTCTTTTTCTGGCTTTTCTTTCTCACCTGCATGAGAAGTCTGCGACTGCGCAGCTGAGCCCAGGAAGAGCAGCTCCCAGACCGCTCGTGTGAGCGACAGACAAATCGAATAGAACCAGAACTTGTTGGCCTCCATCAGGAGCGGAGTGTACCAGGACACCTGCCAGATATTCATATCGTGGAGCTGACTGGGTTAGCGCGGGATCGCTGTTGACCGAAGGGAAGACATACGATAGTCAGATTCTCCAGGGCGCAGTACAGGCCCAGACTGCTGAATTCGGCCAGCTCCATCATAGTCAGGATGGCTCCTTTAGAAGGAGCGTTTCCTGTGAGGAGATCATATGCGTGCTCGAAGCATCCGTAGAAATCCAGCAAGCGGAAATACCGCCGTCCTGGGCGTCAGGAGTCAGCGACACGCTTCAGACAGGATATGATGACATTCACTCACCTAAGGCCAGTTGGTTCCAGGCTATCGAACATCTGGTGGCCGTGAGTTGGTCGAGGGAGAGCTCGGCGACGATCAACGCTAGGGCTTGGATAAGGCGAAGAGTCTTTTCCAATCCTGCTGTGACGCTGGTGAAATTGACCAGCTGTTTGAGGAGGGAAGGCCGAGAACCGACCAGATCCGTATGGGCCATAGGTGGATGTGTCGATTGTTAATTGTTGATGTTGATAGGGATTGTAGTGTAGCAGTTGGGTGATTGTAGGGAGAAAAAGTGTGTCTCGGCAGAAAATGGTGGTTGTTCCCCGCGGAAAGCATCAACATCAACAACAACCATCAACACTCATCCTATCTCACCTCAACTCCAACTCTCGACCCACCATCTACTCTGCGATAAGACACTACGGAGTATACTCTGGAGTAGTACAGACGGCTCGTATCATCTCTAGGTCGGGATTAAGTTCGCCACCCGCTACCACTACAGTCCACCGAATCCCCCGCATCTCGAGGATTCAGCCATCCTCTGCCAGGAGTCAAGAGACCAATTACTTCTCTCGGAGGAAAGGAATCTCTCCAATGTTTACCTCCAGCTGATCAGTGGCGGGTCGGATCCCTGCTGGTGGAGATCTCAATCGACCCCCGTTGTCCGATTGACACTCGCTATGCCCCTTGGCGACTAGTTGGCTCGTAATGGCCGTGTATTCCGTCACAAAGAGGACTGAGCATGGCTTTGGCTTATCAGGGGTCAGGATACTACCTGACTCGCCCGGAATACGAGATAGACAGGATACGGGTCGGCAGGAATGTATGGCTTCCCCTCTTCAGGCATGATCTCGGTATCAGTCAAGCCAAATAGGGTGACTGATGGGCATTTAAATATCCGTCATGCAACGGTCTCTCCCATCCATTGTCTCTAGTGCAATGGGTCTATCTGCATAGATAGACGTACGCCTCAGATCGCAGACATATCTTCTCCACAGCAGACCAGCGCAATGGATTCGCCAACCTCGTCGAAGAAGCGCAAGGCCAGCACTGGCGCCGACACTGAGCCGGATCAGAAAATGGGCGAGGAAGCCATGCCGGCTGAGCTCATCTCCGCCGGGTCCCAACATCTACATCGGAAACTCGGTGGCAAGGAGATCCAGCTCTTTGCCGTGGGAGGTGCTATCGGAACATGTACGAGACCTGGCATTGTCTGCAACGAAGTATGCTAATCGGCTCGGTTAGCTCTCTATGTGCAGATGGGAGCTTCTCTCCCCAAAGGTGGACCGGCTGGGCTCTTCCTTGGCTTTGTTCTATACGGAAGCATCGTATTGGCTGTCAACCAATGTTTCGGTGCGTGATGCGATGCTGTGTGTGGTGCAGATATTGACGATGTGTAGCTGAAATGGTCACCTATCTCCCCATTCCCTCTCCTTTTGTCCGGCTGGCGGGTTTCTGGGTGGATGATGCCTTGAGCTTTGCCATGGGATGGAACTACTTCTTCCTGATGGGTGAGTTCTGGCTACTCCTTCACTTATGTCTATACTAACTCCCACAGCATTCAATATCCCCTACGAGATCACTGCTATCCATGTTCTCCTCGGTTATTGGACCGACAAAGTCCCCGTCGCTGTCGTGGTAGTCGTCTGTCTGGTGATATATGCGTACGCTTCTCTTCCACGTTGATTGTCTGATACTAACGACTACAGCGTGCTCAATGGCGTCACGGTGAAATATTTCGGCATCTCCGAGTTCTATCTATCCATTTTCAAGATCTTCCTTATGCTGGGATTGATGATGTACACCTTTGTCACCATGGTAGGCGGCAACCCGCGCCATGATGCATACGGCTTTCGCTACTGGAACAATCCGGGGGCGTTTGTCGAGTATCTGGTGCCTGGAGACACCGGTCGTTTCCTTGGGCTGTTGTCCTGCATGATCCAGGGCTCTTTCACGTGCGTCTCTGCGTCCTATTTCGTATGGAACCACACTGACTCGGCGATTAGCATGGTCGGACCCGAATTCATCTCCATGGCCGCTGGTGAAGCCGAAAACCCCCGCCGACTGATGGGACGAGCCTTCCGGTCTTTCGTGTGGCGCCTGATGTTCTTCTTCATCGGCGGTGCGCTCTGCGTGGGAATTGTCATTCCCTACAATGATCCGATGCTTGCTGAAGCCATCTCCGGCGACCAAAGCGGCACTGGTGCGGCGTGAGTATCCTGCATCTACCCGACTCTTACTGAGCTCTGCTGATCTCTCAGCTCTCCATACGTCATCTCAATGGTCAAATTCGGCATCAAGGGCCTCCCCGATCTCGTCAACGCCCTGATCATGACATCCGTCCTCTCCGCCGGCAACAACGTCGTGTTCTCGGCAGCCCGCACCCTGCACGGCATGGCCATCGACGGCAAGGCGCCCGCCTTCTTCGCCAAATGCACCCGCTTCGGGCTGCCGTACTACGCGGTGATCGTCGCCCTCGCCTTCTGCCTGCTCTCGCTGCTGCAGCTGGGCAACACGTCGGCCACCGTGCTCAACTGGCTGGTGGGCATCTGCACCGCGTCGTATCTGCTGAACTACTTCGGCACCGTTATCACCTATCTGCACTTTTACGAGTCGCTCAAGCGCCAGGGCGTCGACCGCAACACCCTGCCGTATAAGGGGTACCTACAGCCGTATGCGGCGTGGTATGCGCTCGTCGGCACATTCGTCATGACCCTCATCCTGGGGTACACCGTCTTCATCAATGGAAACTGGGACACGACGACCTTTTTCACGAGCTACATCATGGTGGGGTTCTTCCCGGTGGCGTTTATCTTTTGGAAGCTCGTGCGGCGCACGACGTATGTGCGGCCTGGGACGGCGGATCTGACGCTGGGGAGCACCAAGGACGATATCGACTTGTACGAGAGTCTGTACGAGCGGCCCAAGAGGGGCAAAGTTTTGGACTATTTGAATTCGTTCTTCGAATGATGAGGCCGTTTATCCTCTTATGTCACTGCTTTACTTTGTCTTATCATATCCATCTAAGTAGATTTCTGTACCTATGTATGCACAATATCATCCGCGTTAAGGATCAAACTCGCAAAGAACAACGGCTCCCTGACAAACTCCTCAGCACGAATAAACTCGTCTACAGTATGCGCACGATTAAGATTCTCCACCAGGTTGATGGGCGTGAACCGGTAGATGTTCTTGGTCAACGCCCAGAAGAACTTGGTGTCCGTGTTGGCCGCCATCAGGTACGGCGTGACGACCAGCTCATCGTCCGCATCCAACGGCCTCAGCGTATTTCGAATCGTCCCCGACAAGACCCGGAACGCCTCCGCGTCCACAGGGGACACCGGCGCGGGCTCCAGAGCATCCACGCCGAACAGGCTAATCTTCCGCGGCTCCGATGACACCGTGTCGGGGTGGAATCCCTCAAAGACCATCCCATGCTTCTGGGCAATCGGGCGCACCAGGTTCTCGTAGTGCGCCTCGATCTCCGCAATTGAGCTCTCCACCGCAAGCCGCAGATTGACCATGGTCGTCGCGAGCTCCGGGATAGCGTTGATCTTCACGCCGCCGTTAATCTTGCCCACCGACTGACTCGTCCGAAAATAGTACCGCATACCGTCCAGCGTCTGCGCGAGCTCCTCCTCCGCGAGGCGATGCCCCTCCGCCACGCGCGGAAGCGCCCTGCGCACCGCAGCCGGGACACTCCCCGCCGGCGCATGCACCGCCGCACACTCCAGGAACCCGAACATGGGGTTCGCCGGCGTCACCCTACCAGCGAAGGGGCTATTCTCGACCGCCGCGACAATCTCCGCAAGGACACCGATGGCGTTGTGGTCGGGCGGGTTGGACGCATGCCCTCCCGGCGCGGTGACGTTGATCCCGACGTCAAGGTAGCCCTTCTCGGCCGTGCTGACCATCGCAAACGACTGCCCGAACTCCTCCTGCACGCCGACGGAGCCCTCGTCCATGATGAGGTAGAGGCCGTCGTCGCCGTAGCGCGCATGCAGGAAGTCGGCGATGGGGCGCCCGCAGTTCTCGCCGCTGATTTCCTCGTCGCAGCCGAAGGCGAGCACGACGGTGCGCTGCGGCTGGAACCCCGCGCGGAGCAGTAGGTCGACGCTCTCGAGGATCGAGATCAGGTACCCCTTGTCGTCGGTGGCGCCGCGGCCCCAGATGCGGGTGCCGTCGTAGTGGCCGGCGTACGGGGGGTGCGTCCAGTCTGCGGATGTGGCGGCGAGGACGGGGACGACGTCCTGGTGGGCGAGCATTAGGATGGGCTTCGCGGTGGCTGGGGGGACGCTGCCGGGCCAGGTGAGGATGAGCCCGTGCGTGTTGGCATGGTCGAGCGTGAGGGTGTTTGTGAGAGTGGGATAGTGCGTTTTGATGTAGTCTTCGATCTGGTAGAAGATGTCCCAGCGCGGGTCTGTGCCGATGGGGCCGAGGTCGTCGTAGCTCTCGGACGGGATGCGGATGATGCCTGTGAGCTTCTGGATGATCTCGTCATGGTAGGCGCTGGACTCGACGGTGTCGCGCAGGAACTGCTCGACTTGTTTGTTCTTGGGGGAGAGCTTGGGCGCTTGTTGGCATATCCCCGACTGGCTGCCGGGTGCATATCTGTCTGGTGCAGCGGAGTGGAATAGATGCAGTCGGTCTGTGATGGACGATGTATCGAGGAAGAGTGTTGATATCAGTCCGATTAGAGCAGCACCGATGGCCAGCAACGGTGGCAGGACGCTCTTATCGCCATGCAAACTGTGTTTGCCAGTCATTTCTTCAGGATGATGTCCATATGAGGACGATATCAGCCGTCTTCGGCTTATATCTATGCTTCTCATCTGCACAGACGGCGGGGCGTATCGTCTTGTATCATTCCTTACCGTGTCTTTCTAGTTCGTACAATCTTCGGACAGCTATCATGTATAGTGCAGCTTCCCCTCGCCCTTGACCAGAACAAGCAGGTCAGCATCCTGCGACGGCGGTTGATGTCGATCGCTCGTGTTGGGATGCAGAGGGAGTTCTGGAGCCGACAGACCGGCCGAAGAGATGCTATCTCTACAAGCTGCCTCGTGTATCTCGCCAAAACTGCCCGATGCAGAGGATTGACTGTGGGTGACAGTGAATGTAACCGTCCATGGTTCTGATTCCTGATTCCTGTTTTCCGATAAGCCGGGAAACCCAACACGAGATGTGGGGAGATACTACTAGGTAACTACTTCTATCTGCTCTACAAGCCAGCCCAACACACCCACCCATCACATCTCTCAATAGAAACTACCAGAAAGAAACACAATGCCCGATTCCACCCCCGCGTCCAATGAGTTCCGCAGCGACACCTTCACCACGCCCACACCCGCCATGCTGCACGCTATGGCGACCGCCACCTTCGGCGACGACGTCTACGGCGAAGACCGCACAACAAACGACTTCCAGGCCGAGATCGCCCGCCTAACCGGCATGGAAGACGCCTTGTTCATGCTGTCCGGCACGATGGGCAACCAGATCGGCGTGCGCGTGCACCTCACCCAGCCGCCGCACTCGGTGCTGTGCGACTACCGCGCCCACGTCTACGCCGAGGAGGGCTCCGGGCTGGCCGTGCTGTCGCAGGCGATGGTCACCCCCGTGCACCCAGCCAACGGCATCTACCTAACGCTGGACGACGTGCGGAAGTGGGTGGTGCTTGGGGATGACATCCACACGGCGCCGACGCGGGTCATCAGTCTGGAGGTCACGATTGGCGGGGTGCTGACGCCGCTGGAGGAGATACGGAAGATTGCGGAGTTTGCGCGGGCAAACGGTATCAAGGTGCACTGTGATGGGGCGCGGTTGTGGAATGCGTCTGCTGCGTCGGGGCACTCGCTTGCGGAGTATTGTCAATATTTTGATAGTGTGTCGATGTGTGTGTCGAAGGGGTTGGGGGCGCCGGTCGGGGGTGTGCTCGCCAGCACAAAGGCGAATATCAAGCAGGCGCGCTGGCTGCGGAAACAGCAGGGCGGTGGTATTCGACAGGCGGGTGTGTTGACGGCGGCGGCCATGGTGGCGTTGAAGGAGGTGTGGCCGACGATGAAGACGACGCACGAGCGGACGAAGAAACTGGAGGAGGACTTGCGGGCAATTGGGGTCGTGCCGCAGATTCCGGTCGATACGAATTTCTTCTTCATTGATGCGGAGAGGTCGAAGATCGATATGGGCGTGCTGTTGGAGCAATGTGAGAAGTTCAATGTGAAGCTGATGGACGAACGCATCGCCATGCATCACCAGATCAGCGACGAGGCTGTCGAGAACCTCAAAACGGCCATCGCAGAGACTGTCAAGATTACGAAGACCTTGCCTCCGGGACATGTTTCGTCGAGACAGCCAGCTGGATATGGGAGTACGTCGAAAATGAATGAATATAGCTAGATCAATGGATTCTTGTCTTTCCGTTCGTACTATGGAAGCAAATATAGCAATGCCATGAAGATAGAATAATCGCAACTAAGCACTCTGAGTAGGATCTCCCAACGCAGCAGCAGACTGGTACTCGCTGAAATCATACTCAACATCAAAGTCGTCGTCCTCCCCGTCGGACAGCTCAACATCCTGCAGGTTCTCACCCTCATCCTCCTCCTCAGCCGTGAACCCATAATCCTCCTTCTTCAGCTTCTTCCAGGCCGCAAGAGTCTGTCGTCTGGTCAGACAGAATGGCAGCTTCGACAACGACACACATCCATCCTGAGTAACCTCGACAGTCTGACCGATCGAGCTGGCGGTATCGGTCGCCTTGTCCATCAGAATGATATGAATGAAGAAAACCATACCCGGCTGCGCAATCACATCCTGTCCCCTCACGAACATGGGAAAGTCCATCCACGTCGGAGAGAACGTCGCACCCAGACTATACCCACACGAGTTGAACCGCTGGTCGCGGAACCCGTTCTCGTCGGCCACGCGCGCGTACGCCTCGAAGACATCGCCGATCGGCCGCCCAGGTTTGAGTGCCTCCATGCAGGCCCGCATCTGCAAGATGTTGACCTCGTGCATGCGGCGCGCGAGCTTCGTCACGCCGCCGATGGGGATGGTGCGCATCAGACACGCATGGTAGTGCTTGTACACGGCCGCGTGCTCCAGCGTCAGCTGGCGCTCGATCTTGTCCTTGCCGGTCGAGTACCGCGTAAGCACGGCCTTGTTGCCCGAGACCATGATGTTCTCGTTGGCCGGGTCGTCGCCGCCGCCCTCGTACACCGTGCCGACCAACTCGCGCCAGAGATCGCCCTCGTAGGCGCCGGGCTTTGCGAGCTTGAGCGCGCGCACGAGCGAAAAGTCCGCCAGGTACGCCGCCTTGCGCACCTTGCGCATCTCCGCCTCCGACTTGATGATGCGCAGCTCGCGCGTCAGCAGATCGCTGCAGTCTACTAAAGTGCAGAGCCCGTCGACTGCTTGTTCGAGCAGCTTGCCCAGTCGGTGGGTCAGGGAGCACGAGTCCGGTTCGTAGCCGATGCGCTTGGAGGGAGAGTCGATGCCGAAGCTCTTTAATACTTTGGGGACTAGCGAGACGGGATTGCTTCCGGCGTCGTCGGAGCGAATGAGGACGTCTTTCTGGTCCAGGGTTGAGGTGAATAGCGCCTGGCGGAGATCCGGAATGCGTGTGATCAGCTTCATGGAGCCGTCGCTGTGGAAGTACATGGCCTGGAAGAAGACATAGCCAAAGGTGTCGAATCCGGTCAGATAGTACAGGGATTCCTGCTTGGTCATGAGAAAACCATCGAGATTGTCTCGCTTCATGAGCTCCAGCACGCGCTGCTGACGCTCCTTAAACTCGGTCTCTGAAAACCAGAGGGCTTTCTTGAAGGGGAGGACTTTTTTGAGAGTCATCTTGCTGATTTAATGAACTGAGAGATGGAATTGGAATGAATTGCGAGGGCAGCGTCTTGGATAGACCTCGTATCCCCTCCCCTACTCCAACCGGGTATATATGCTATCCTCCACATCTGAAGCGGGGATTAGATACAGCGCGTCGGCCCTCGTCTATAGTGTACCTCCATATCGACCTTCTCCACCGCTGTTGGAGAAGCGCTAGTACCAGGTCAGTATTGTTCTGCGAAGGTCCGTGCCGGATGCAACAGCGGAGTTGATACGAGGAGCCGGGAAGATCACTCGGGGGTCTATCAGTCGACCACTCCTCATAGGTGGCATTTCCCAGGCCACAACTTGGCTTATCAGCTGTTTGAATCATCGGGAAGTTAAAATTAATAGCTGGTAATGGCTTGTTTCCACGGGAAAGTGAGGTGAAAGATGAGAGTTCTAGATCTATACTTCGGTGGTGGGCGTTTGATAGAGCATGGCTGGACTCCATGGATTGACTGGACCTCATGGGAGATAATGTTAATGAACTACCTACCTAATCGTTCCTGTTGGACCCTAGTTGATGAAAGCGCGCATTATACTGAAAATTGATACGGTGATGTTCTAGGTAGAGGTGAATTCTTCCAAGCCAGTGAAATCATACTGGTCTTCAAAGGACACGGGAACAGAGGCAAGGTATCTACTATATCTACATACCTCGATCATTTCTCATTACTGACTACATCTAGTAGGTGTGGTTTCGAATAAGGGGGTCTTTAAACCATAGGAGTTAGATACACTCTTGATCGACCGCCATCATGCAAATGTACTATACGTCTTGTATCACCTAGGGCTTCGCGCCCGACTCTCTTCATCTCGATCGGTGTCACGGCCGAAATGCAACGCAATAACGATGTTGGCAGAGTGTCTACTTCATATGTGATTAGCTTAGTTACCTAGCCGCTATACAGAAGGTTGGACCTGCCTTCCATGCAACTCCTCTCAACACTAGGTATAAAAGCTATCCCAACCCCCTCTAGAGACGATTTTTCTTCCATTATTCAACAATCAACCTAAGAGAAAGCCTTGGTATACACCATGCATATCACTACAGGTATTACTTGCCCGTGCGCTACTTCTCCCTCCTACGGGCGGCTATTGCAGCCCTGTGGTTGGCGAATGCCATCGTGAGGCTGCGGACTCATGTCTTCCCCGAGCTCAGCGCTACCTAGGTTATTTCTCACTGATTGAAATCCTACCTACCCACCATTAACACAACAGAATCTATATAATGCTACTCCGAATTACGAAGTTGCCTTCACCATCTTGAGCTAGAATGCGCCCCGAAAGCCGCAAAGATTTTACCATTGCAATCATCTGCGCCCTTCCTCTCGAGGCTGAAGCCGTCGAAGCCCTTTTTGATGAAACCTACGATCGGCTGGGGAGATACTACAGCAAGTACCCATACGACAGAAATGCCTACATCAACGGACGGATTGGCAACCACAATGTGGTTCTGTGCTACATGGCGGAAATCGGAAAAGCAAGTGCAGCAAGTGTTGCCTCAAGCCTGCAAATCAGCTACTCGGGAGTCGAGCTAGCCTTGGTTGTTGGGATATGTGGAGGCGCCCCAAACCCGCCAAACCGTCAAGAGATCTATTTAGGCGACGTTATTATTAGTGACTCGCTGATTGAATACCACCCCGGTGGCTTTCAGCGGAAATCTGGGGTCAAGGATACGCTCGGCCGACCAAAGCGAGAAATCCGAGCTCTCTTGAACGGCCTGGGGACTGAGAATGCCCGCAGTGAGCTCCAGGACCAGATACAGCGATACCTTGACTTGCTTCACCAAACAGGAACCAGGTGGCACCGTCCACAAATCGATGATAGTCTGTTTCGGGCTTCTTATCACCACAAACATCATGTTTCACCCATCAGATGCGGCTGTTCTGAGGATGACATACCTGGAGATATCTGTGACGGCGCAATCCAGGCAACATGCGATGAGCTTGGATGTGAACAAAGCCAGGTAATCCGGTGTCGAGGATTTCGGGAAGCTGTCAAGATATCTGCCCATATCGGCCCTGTTGCTTCCGCCGACACGGTGATGAAGTCCGGACAGCACCGTGATGAAATCGTTCGAAAGGACGAGGTTATTGGTTTTGAAATGGAAGGGGCAGGCGTGTGGGACAATGTCTCGTGTATTGTCATCAAGGGTGTGTGCGACTATGCGGACAGCCACAAAAGCAAGTCATGGCAAGCATACGCTGCAGCAACTGGAGCCTCTGCGGCAAAGGCTTTCTTAGAGTATTGGAGGCCTCGACACCAAGGTCAGTCATCTAGCTTCAGCAAGGCTGCATTATTCCCAAACTTATACCGTATATTAGAGACGCGCAGGACTCGTCACTTCATGGTCCCATTTGGGAGAAATCGCCGTTTTGTGGGCCGCCAGGATGAAATTCACAAACTGAAAGAACTAATCTCGATGCCGAACGGACCAAGGAAACTTGCTATTACTGGGCTCGGGGGCGTTGGAAAGACCCAAATAGCTCTCGAGCTAGCTTACCGCATGCATGACAGAGAGGCCGGAGTCTCCATCTTTTGGATCCCGTGTACCAGCCATGAGGCAATTGATCAGGCCTGTATGACCATCGCGCAGAAGGTAGGAATCCATGATGTGAAGCCGGCAGAGGCGAAGGACCGTATCAAAGCGCACTTCAGCCAAAAAGGTGGGAAGTGGCTTCTGATCTACGATAATGCCGATGATATGGATATGTGGATTAGGGGGAGCAATACTGCCTTGCCACTAAAGGACTTCCTGCCTTCCAACGACCAAGGTCATGTTATCTTCACCACTCGCAACCGCCAGCTAGCCGTGAAACTAGCAGCTTTTGAGACGATACATGTTCGTGAACTCGACGAAAAGAGCTGCGTGGAATTTCTGGAGAAGTCACTGGTACAAAATAGTCTGCTCAATGACAGTCATGTTGCCGCTCTTCTCGAGCAGCTTACCTTCCTTCCGCTTGCTATTACCCAAGCGGCAGTATATATGAACATGACTGGGATAGCAGTGTCCGATTACTTGCTACTTCTCCAAGAACAAGAGGCCGATGTCGTGGAACTCCTAAGTGAGGATTTTGATGAAAATGGACGCTACGAGGATGTCCAGAATTCTGTAGTAAGGACATGGCTCGTCTCATTCCATCAGATCCAGAAGCTAAACCCACTTGCGGCTGAATATCTATCACTTATGGCTTGTTTGAATCCACGCAACATCCCTCAATCTTTGCTTCCGAAACCAACGACCAAGAAGAAGATGTTCGATGCCCTTGGGCTTCTCGACGCTTACTCTTTCATAACTCTCCAGTCTCCGAATGGCACCATAAACTTCCATCCCCTGGTGCATCTGGCAACTCGAAACTGGCTGAAAAAAGAGGAGCAATTTCCAATCTACATAAGAAAAGCAGCAGACCGTTTGGACGAGATGTTTCTTTACGATGATCATACCAACAGACAGCTCTGGGGAGATTACCTTCCTCATGCCCTATTTTTGCTCGGTGAGACTACCTTCGAAAAGCGGCAAGAGCGATACATTGGGTATATACATAAGGTGGAGACCTACTTGAACCGCGATGGGAGACACGATGAAGCAGGAGAGCAATGGGTGCAGGTGGTGGAGATTACAAAACAGGTGCTGGGACCAGAGTATCCTGGTACTCTGAGAATATGCTCCAGGGATGATGAAACGAAACGAGACGGTACAGGTACTCTGGGAGACACTGCATAAAGCTATGCTGTCAATGGATGCTTAGGTTCGTAGTTTGTGCTATGCTTTGCTTATTATACTGGTTCTTTATATGGTGACATTCTAAGAGAAACTTCTTCGAAGACATATCAGTCTCTAAAACGACGCTGAAACGGAGCTGAAGTGATGTCTGTATATCCTGACTATATATTACAGTCATAGAGTCTGTTATTGAATCTAAGCGAGCTAAGTAGTTTATACTATAGGTGTTAAGATACATTCTTTTACCAACTATGTGACAACACGGCCTGGCAGTGTAGCGATGCTCCTTCCTGACCAAACTCTGTGATAACGTCCCAGTTCACAGCCTCTGGAAGAACACCACCTTGCTCCCCACGTCCGAATCGAAAGGAAACTGTAACCCTACGTTCATCAATGTCGCACCAGAGTACTCCGCATCTCCATCGACACTGTACACAGCCTGTGGGTCCAATCCCTGCATCTTCACCCGGGGAATACTATTGTCCACGCGGGGGCTGGTCTGAAAATAGAACAGGACTGCCTGCTCACCATCCGGGGAGATAAAGAGGACTGCCGGCCACTGCGAGTCGTGAGGGCTCAATCGGTACATATCCCCAGTCAGAACGATCGGATTGACCCTCTCGGCGAGAGCAATAAGTCCCGGGACAGCATCGCGCTCATCATCGGGCATGTGCGCAGGATTCAGCTCCAGACCAAAAGACCCTCCCATCATTGCGACGTGGGCGCGGAAAGTAATAGGCAAGGTGCGTCCTGTTTGCTGGTTCGGTACAGCTGAAAGATGCGCGCCCATTGCGCTGGGCGGATATGCCAGCGAGGTGCCCATTTGAATGGTAATACGCTCCAAGGCGTCGGTGTCATCGGAGGTCCAGATTTGCGGAAAGTACTGGAGCACACCCGGGTCGAAGCGGCCGCCGCCAGAGGCACATCCTTCCCAGAGGACATTGGGGTACTTGGTCGTGAGATTATCGAAGACCCGGTACATTCCGAGCATGTACTGGTGGTCGGTGGAAGGGGAAGGTGTTTCATGGATGCCGCGGTTGTTATCCCACTTAACATAGGATATATCGGCGCTGTCCAAGATGTCTGATACAGACTTGATCACGTAGTCTTGGACCTCGGGGAGGGCCATGTTCAAGACCAGTTGGTTCCGCGTCAAGGTGCGTGGATATGATCCTGCATGTAGAGCCCAGTCTGGATGTTGATGATAGAGACTGGAATTAGGATTGACCATCTCTGGCTCGAACCAGAGTCCAAATCTCAGATTAGTGGATGTATCATTCCCGGGGTGCAAGGCCGTGATCCTGTCAACCTCATGCGGTAATCCATGAGGAAACCGGTCGGGATTAGGAACCCAGTCTCCCAAGCCGGCGTTATCAGCGGTACGGGGGTACTTGTCACCGAACCACCCGTCATCGAGTACGAACAGCTTGACGCCCAATTCTGCCGCTTCCGTAGCCAGCTGGTAGACGGTGGTCTCGTTATAGTTAAAGCCAAGGCCTTCCCAGCTGTTGAGCAAGACTGGACGGTCCGATACAGCAAACTTGCTCTTTATCAAGTGGTTCCGGTAGAGACGATGCAACAACCGAGACATGCCACCAATACCATCCGCTGAGTAAACCGCCACGCACTCAGGAGATACTAGACTCTCGCCTGGTCTCAGCACCCATGAAAGCTGGCCAGGGTTGAGGCCAAGGAGAGCCCGAGTAAACCCCTGAGAGCCTCTCTCCACATTGACTGCGAATGATCCCGAGTAGACCAGCGAGAAACCCCAAGTCTCACCTTGAGACTCTGTGGTAGCTGGGTTCATGATTGCCAGGAATGGGTTGTGTAGATGAGACGAGTATCCCGCAGAGCTGTCAAAACTGTGGATATATTAGATTCTGAATCCGATGTCGCCTCCGGAATTGGACAGACATACCCTTGCGTCCCATATTCGACTTTCCTCCTCTCGCTGTGCGCTTCTCTCGCCCAGTCACCCCTCAGGTAGACCATATCTAGATCCTCGTAAGGGAAATCTACACTCAGACTAGCAAGCGTCTCGATGGTGATATTCCCCGCGCCCTGATTGGTGACATTGACGCTGCGTACAACAGCATCGTACTTGGGGAAGATCGAATACGACAGATCTGCAGCCACTTCACTGATCTCATCATATAGATGCACCACGAGCGTAGTCACGTCCTCCTCGGAGCCGAAGGTTGCAGGCAGCCCAGGGAGAGCCGGCTTACCCGGGATGACCGTGTGGGATCTGTACAATAGTTCGGAGACGGTGTAACCCGCCGTCTGCCGAATACGAATGGCAGGGATGCGAAAGTCGCCTCGACCCTGGTCTGGGAATTCGCGTCGGACTCGGCCAATGGTGTTGACCCAACCATTGACCTGACTGACGATCTCCGTTGGGAAGTTTCCGGAGACTCGCGGGCCGAAGTGATCCGAGAACAGATCCCCAGTGGCGTCGTCTACATGGAAACGGTACGAGACATGGTCACCGTTCAGAGTGAAAGCTGTGCCGTTCACAACGACCGCTGATGGACTATCAGTATCAGACGGTGTGTGCGGAAGATGGGAGAACGCATACCATTAGTATTCGAGGCGGGTGTAGCCCAGATCGGACGACTCCACAGAGTGAAAAGTCCGGCGACAAATGTCGCGCTGTTCATGAAAGCCACCATCTTAGTTGTCTGAGGAAGAGATGAGGACGGTCAGGCCCAGAGGTATACCTAGGCACCTTTATACACCCTCGCGGAACGGGATCAAGTAGTACAACCGGAACTCCGCCGACTCGGCATGGGATAAGTTCGCCAATCCAAGGGTCGCATTTCACGGACTCCGCATCTCGCCATTCGATTTGTCTGGGGAGGAGGTTGGGGATGTGGAGGAGGCGAGAGAGTTATGTACACAGGCGGAACTAGTCCGTAAATGGACATCGGCTTTTCTGCGGTCTGATTGGCCGGCAGCATCCAATTCCGCCGCACCCAAGAAACCCAGTTCAGTAATACCCCATTCTCGGTTGATCCTCATCTCCGCACCCCGACGTCCTATCTGCATATCCCCGCCATGCGGAGAGCAAAGGCGTGCGCTGCATGTCGGTAGGCCGAGTGCACTACCTTACACTATCCGAGGACTGCATGCTGATGGTCTATCAGGCAACGACGCCGACGTTGTGATACCCCTGGGCCTGGACCAGGACAGCCATGTACCTTTTGTGTGACGAAGGGCTTGCCCTGCTCGAGAAGTGAGCTGGAAATTGGGACCATCTCATCGTACACACCCGACCCGAGAGAAGACTGTCCTTTCAGTCGAAGCCTGTGTGCGGAGCTCATACAGCTCTATTTTGACTATGTGCACGATCAATTCCACACACTGTTTCACCCACCCAGCTTCGTGGAAGACGTGAACCGCGGACAGGCTCCGCGGATTCTTGTGTATGGGATGATGGCATTGTCAGCAAGGTGTGTCCGAGCTCGATGTGGCAGCGAGCCCAGAAACTAAGCCGTCAAGGTTCTCCCAAGATCCGTGTTTTTCTGCAGTCGATCCTCGTCAAAGAGGGCGCGGATACGCTGAAGAGTGTCGTCGTCTGCTGGACTGGACCGACGTCTCTTTGGCCACCATTCAAGCTTGCGTCTTACTGGGTGCCATTGCTATCACGGATGGGGATCCGGCCGCAGAGAATATCTATTACACCATCGCCTGCCGCATGGCACAGCTTATGGATCTCCCTAATTGTCCAACCGACAGTCCGTTGGAAAAGGAGGTTAACATCCGACGTTGGTCATGTCCCGGGAATGGAATTACATACGGAGTACAATGCTGATGGTGATAGTGTGGTGGGCCCTAAACATGATCGATGTCTGGTCTTCCGCGGGCGTCCGGCTTCCAAGGCTACTCACCCCTAAGCTGAATGTGCCGTTGCCAATTGACGAAATCGTCTTCCGCCGAATGACGCGCGAAATGACTCGGGATCAGATCCCCGAGCCCGAAACGCGATCGTCCCTTCTCGCCGAGATGGTGCGGCTGAATCGGATATTGTTACAGATCAACGATTTCAATATGCGTGCTTCCACCGAGGAATTGGATCTGGACACCATCTTGGGCCACGTGCAGGATCTGTCCGATCAGCTCGACGTGTGGCTCAGAGACTTACCGGACCACATACGAGACACCCGGGCCAACATGGAAAGATACGCAGCTCAAGGATTGGGTCGTGTCTTCGCAGCGATCTATTTAGGGTATTACCACTACGGCCAGATGCTCTTCTACCGATTCCTCCACGAAGATTCCCAATCCTCCTCCACACGAACACGACAGTATGCGGGTAAATGCAAAGACCACGCCCGGGGTCTCTGCGACATTGTTTACGCCTCTGAGGAAGTCCCAGGCTGCGACGTCAGGTACAACATGGTGGGCCACGTCCTAGTCATCGCATCCACGGTACAAATACATAGCTTGTTGTTTGAAGCGGACGAGCAACAAGTGGCGCTGGCGAGAAGTCGCCTTGAAAAGAATTACGTCTTCCTTATCCGCCTGCGGAGCCTATGGCCGACGCTGGAATTTTGCATGGATAGACTCATGGCGTTTCATGAAGCCTGTAAGAACTCTGCCGATACTACCTTCTATATGGATCGGTGGATGGTGCGCTTTTTGGTAGAGTTCGCGAGTCCGGTAGGTGATCGGGATTCTTGTGCAAAGGATCGGAGCCCTTGGTCACTTGAGCTTCTCATCCATCCCAACGAAGTGACCCACGGCTCTTAGAAGCAAGCCTTCCAGTAAGAATATGAGAAAACATCTGTCATACACTGCCTGATGAAGAGCAGTAACCCTGCACCCGCTGTAACAGGCTCAATTGATATCGATATGCTCGCAGCTAAGGGTTATCAGTAGAGGTCGGTGCTCTTTGATCGACCATCGTCATGCAAATGCGCTATACTACCTATTTACGAAGCCTCCTTTAACCGCCTATACCGGGACTTAGCGCCTGGCTGACTGCATAGAAGCCAATCAACCACAGCCTTGCTTCACAGCCGCACGAGGCTGACACTGCGACATCAATCCCCCACGCCGACTAACTCACCAATATCCCTCCTCGGCGACAACAGCAACTGAGATCTTATACCGAGCAGATCGCGATGCCGACAAAACTGTTTGTCAGGTGCGTCCATCGCAGGCATTTTTCTTATTTCGACACTGACAGCAGCAGTGGACTGGCCTTCCACACTACTGATGAAACCCTGCGGCAGGGGTTTGAGAGATTCGGGGAGGTCCAGCAGGCCGTAAGTTGCCACCCCGTCCGTTGCCGTGCGAATAGACGTTTGATTCTCCCTTGCTCTGGGAGTAGATAGTCGTCAAAAATCGTGACACCGGACGCAGTCGGGGGTTCGGCTTTGTCGAATTTTCCCGAGAGGAAGATGCTACAGAAGCACTAGAGAATCTGAACAATACGGAGTATATAGACCCACCTGCAGGCAGGCCCCCAACTTACGGCTGACAAAAACACCATCATTAGATTTGACGGGCGGATCATCCGCGTTGACCGGGTGTCTGAGAGGAAAGCCCCAGTTGACGGAGGATACCATGGTCGTGGAGGCTATAACCGTGGAGGAGCGGGGTACGGTTATGGGAGAGATGAGAAAGGTGACTGGCGGGTGTCCAACAGTGCATCGCATACAGCCCCGTTGAGAGACGAGCCGGTATCCGGCCCAGCTGAAAATTGGGCAGTGGAAGAACATGCTGGAGCTGAACTATGGGATTACCGGCCCCCCTATCTCATTTTCGATTTCGATTGGGAACTGCCATCACTGCTACAGAATATTTTACCCAGACGAGATGCCCATGCAGTGAAGGAATATGTTCTCGGGGCCATCACTCTAGTGGCAAAGAGTGATTTCATTGAGCTGAAGACCTGCCGGCAGTACCTCGAGAAATATCACCCATCCAGAGGGCTCAAAGTAGTGGAGGCTATTCTCGAGGCTCTGGACTCTCACAATGGCCCAGGTACGTCTCTGGCAAGTAGTTTCATTTCACGTATTTTGAAGGGCATGCTGCCGAGCTGACGCATCTCCGCCAGTGGAACCGGAACGAAATCTGAGAATCAGAGCACAGCACGATAAACTACATATCAGATGTATAGGTTCATTTATGCACCCTGAGATTAGGGATATCTTGATATGGCTGTGTCTCTCATTCCGCGCGCCGAAACACGACGGAACTCTGGTCGTCTCCACAGGCTCGTTGACCGGCACAAGGTTCAGAATGAGTGCGGCTCCGACGCCGTCCTCCGCGTGTTGGTCCAAGCTATTTAAAACCGCATTTGTTGTTCTGATGCCCGGAGCAGACCTCCACCCAGATGGGCTATTGAATCTGAGCTTTGGTGCTTTGCTCCAGCTAGCTGCAGTGGAATACCCTGTTACACTGGAATCTGGCGTAGTTCTCATGGGTTACTCCACCGCATTGGTCCCGGTGGATATCGGCCCGACGGGCCAAGTGATTTGGCATCTCGAGGTGGCATCTGGAGATCAACAGCTCCGCATATCCGAGCTACAGGCCACAAAAGGGCATTGGCTGCAAAGGAAATCGCTTGAGGAGCTTTATACATCGGTGGCGCTGCTGGGATGGTGCACATCAGCACAGGTCCGGTTGGGCACAGACAGTCTCGCGGCGAACGTAACGTGGTCCAGTGCCCGCGCAAAGACCACAACATGGCGCTGGAAGGGGGCCAATCTGCAGCTTCTCGCCCAGTCGGCGGCTCCACTACAGGCTGGTGCGCAGGTAGGATTTTCCTGGGAGCGCGTCGTCAATACTGTCCGGTTTACACCGGGAGGGAACTACACACGATGTCTCGCCAATAGTACGCTGGAGCATGCCGTCCTCTATGATGTGGCTACTCAGCGAGCGTGGCTTGTGCCCCTTATTTCCGTCTACCATCACATGTTGTTGACTTATCAACGCATGATGGCCCCATTGGGGGTGGTTCCGAATCCGATCGTTTCGCCCACCGCTGGATCCTCGAGCTCTTTCCAGGTACTACGGGACTCTGGAGGTGTTGCTATTGAGGGCTCAGGACAAGACTCGTTGACGGTGCGCGAACTCATCCTGGGGTTCTCGATCAACTTCTCCATGACGTCCGCGCAGGCCCCCAAAGGGTCCCGGATCTATGGCTATGAACTCCTGGACCTAGTGGTGAGCTCTCCCCGGAGTGAGCTCAAAGCCACAACAGTGAAGGGTGATGGCCTCGGATGGGCGCCTTTGTTAAAGGAAATACCTTGTCTCTTCTGCGCGGGACTGGGTGATGTGATCGTCGGGACGCGGGCCAGTGAGCCAGATTCTCCATGCAACTACCTGCCCACTGGCCGGAACCTACTAGCGTCGCCTGTGGAAGCCATCCGGATGCTATGCCAAAAGCAAGGCTGCACTTTCACGCGTGAGTCGGGGAGAATCACACGAGAACATGTAATGGTGCTGCAAGGGCAGCCGTTCACTCAATGTGGCCACAGCGCAGGTGACGCGTCCTGTTGGGATCATCCAGAAGATTTTGTACAGAATATCCACCGTGGCACAGACGTGAAGAATGGTGGACACCCTTGTAAAGAGTCCGATCTCCCAGACCAGGGAGCAGTGATTTTGGGAGGTGCTGGAGGCCACAGCTTCGTCCCGACCTATGAGTTTTGGCGATGACCCTTCGTCTGTCACAAACATGTGCATACTTGAACGTGATCTGATAGAGAAGAGGCAGGATGTAGGCAGGGAAGTCTGGCTATGCCTGGCAACAAATTCCGTGTTGACTGATGGAGTACGGAGCACATACAAGAAATAATACAGTGCATAACTTACATGATATGTAATTTATTAGTCATGTACATTGTATTGCCGATCCCTGCCCATATGGGGTATCGGCAAAGGAACCTCGGCTGTGATGGAGACTCCGAGGCGCATCTCCATCCCATATGGAAGCTCAAGATATTATTCTTCACAACCTCATACCTTCCTGCCTCAAATCAAAGAATAGATAACTCACAAACACAATGGCCCCCAAAGAAATCGAAGCCAAAAAGCGCCGCACCCGCAGCGACTACGTCTTCCACCAAGTATACCGCACGCGATGGTACCACCTCCCCACCCCCATGTCCATCACGCATCCATGCTAAGCTCCGCCAGGTTCGACAACGACATGTACGCGCACCTGAACAACACCGTCTACGCGCAGCTCTTCGACTCCATAATCAACACCTGGCTCATCAACGAGTGCGGCATGGACCCGTTCTCCATGAACAACCAGAACCCAGAATCACGAGCGCGCCGCGGCCGCCAAAGAACCCCCCTGCAGCCAGGTCGCCATCATGGTCAACTCGTACTGCGACTACTTTGCCTCGGTCGGGTTTCCGGACGTGCTGGAGCTGGGCCTGCGCGTCGTCAGCCTGGGCAAGTCGAGCGTCGTCTATGAAGTTGGCGTGTTCAGGGAGGGCGAGGAGGCTGTCAAGGTCGTCGGGGGGTATATGCATGTGTGGCTGGATCGGGAGACGTGGAGGCCGGCGCCGGGGGGAATGGAGGATCGGGTGCGACGGGGGTTGCAGAGGTTGGTGAAGGAGGAGGGGAAGGCGAAGCTGTAGTGGGTCTATGGTGAGTAGTTGTGGGGATGGATGTGTCCTGGTGATACATCGAGCGAGTGTACATAGATACTAGTGCTGGCATTGCATTGCATGATGGAGATTCGCATCGCGTGGATACCGAGATAGTTGGGCATGGTCTGATGCTGTGGTAGGATATAACGTGATCGGGCATTAATGTGTTGATCTATGGGTCATGCAACTCGTCTGTGCATACATGCCCCTCTGCCGATCAGACACGCTATCAACAGGAAATTCGGTACTATGGAGCACATTGTCTGGTTGGATTAGAGTATTAATTATAATAGGTTAATTATACTAGGGGTTATCTTGTAACAGCCGAAACAACGAACGCTAATAACAATCATGAGGGCCTCATGCCTAAACACACAGCTTATTCTATACCAGGCGCCATGCAAAGAAAAGCAATCCATTATTCATTAGGGTAGCCCGTTCAAACGAGTCCATCAAACAAAAACAAGCAAGAGATCTTCTAATCAGTTGGCTTTCTCAAAACATGTTCCATAGCCAGCTGCAGAACACATAGAAACGATCGTATCGCGACCCGGTCCATGAGATAGAACCGGTAATCATACATTCATTTTATTCGGGCCAACCGTCACCCGAGAAACATTAGAGCTTTCGGGAACGAGAATCCGACGCATTGAATTCGTGGCCGAATCGAATCTCCACTTCTGATAGGGTCCGGGGATGAATCGACCTTTGCGATCCCACCCGGCGACCCAGCAGTCTTCGTCATCAAGTCGGAAGAACAGGAGTCGTTCGGGCTTGGCTCCCTCGTGGAGAACGACCGAGTGCCAGCGGCACCGGTCTTCCATCTCATATTCAAACATGTAGCGGTGCAGAATGCGGCAATAGACGAGAGGGATAGGGACTTTCTCTTCGTAATCGTTGCCGTCCTTGTAGATGAGGTGCCATCCGCGACCGGGGACGTATTTGTAGGTGCCGGGGACGGGGCTCTCCCAGTGTTCTTCCTTTTGGATGGATCCTTGGATGCGCTCGCCCCGCTGAAACCAGTATGTGGGGCAGAACACAGTTCTGAGACAGAGGAAGAGGTTGGGAGCCATGATGGAGTCGAAGCTCGACGGAGTCGGATTAAAGACGTGTTCAGAAGGGCTTGCAGAGGAGGAGTATCAAAACGCTCAATCGCTCAATCGCTGGATAATGGAATGCGCGATCAGAAAGGAAAAGACGACGCAGACGCGACGCTATATGTCGATGTCCATCTTGGATGAGGATGGGCACTGTCTGAAGAGAGAATGCGAGAGAGACGAGAGGTTGTGTCCGGACGGCTTTATAGGCGCTGTACTCCGGAGTAGATGGACTTTTGTCGTGATTCCTCAATCGACAGACAAAGCAAATCCAGATACCTTGTCACGATGCGGTGAGCAAAGGCTCGTAGCACAGAGATAGTGTTGGTATAGAAGATCGTCAGGAAGACGAGAGGTCAAGATAAAGCAAGCACGCGGGGAGTCAGTGTTATTGCAGCTCCAGAGCGCATGGGAAGAAGACGGCTTGTGAGTGGACGATAACGAGAAACATGATGCAGCGGCGGATTGGAAGGAGGAAGCCAGGAATGATGCAGCTGCGGCCTTAAATCCCGATGGGTGGATGGGAGCCTAGAGGCGGTCTGAAGTCATTTTTTTATACTTGCGCGATTAAAAATTTTCGGTGATCGTCAGGGCTAGACCCAGGAACGGAATCCGGTTTAGCGTGGGGTTCCTGTTTTGGGTCGGCGGGCCTCCCGAGACCCACCTTCTTTCTTAATTTTTTTATTTTCTATTCTTTTTGTTATTTTATTATTTTTCTCTCCATTATCCTTATAAAGATTCATCATCGCCACGGTGACTCAGGCCTTGGCAAGGACTAGACCCGACCAGCCAACACGCCAATCCTCTCACCATGTGGACATTCATCCACCCGGAATTGGTCACAATCCTCTGACGCACTGGGCTCCTGGATCCAGCCAACCTGTCACACCCGACTCAGTGATATCCCGAAAGGAAGTGGCTGCCCTCCATCAGCCCTGTGAGAAAGAAGCGGTCTTGGGATCTTGGCATTAGAGTATACGGAGTATCGTCATCCGGAGGCGTCTCCTTATCGTCTATACATTACTTGCTGGACGCATGCAGCAACATCCCTGATCATGTATACTCCTGCCAGCTAATCTATCCCGTCTAGCCAGTCCTAATGATTATGTCGAGGTTCGTCGTATCGCTGCGCCAACCGCTGATATTTCACCGCCTCGCGAAGCACCATCCCCTCGTTCAGCTGCGTCGTCTCCTTACGGAAAATCTCCTGCCAGGGTGTCTGACTCTCCGGCACCGCATACCCTCCACGAGCCTCCAGCTCAGCTCGCCGCTTATCCAGCTCCTCCGCGGGGACCAGGATGTCCACTCGCCGTTTGTTCAAGTCAACGCGGAGCGTATCTCCGTCGCGAAGGAGCGCTAGGTTCCCCCCGGCCGCCGCTTCAGGACTGGCATTCAGGATCGAGGGCGACCCGGAAGTTCCCGACTGTCGTCCGTCCCCAATACACGGCAGCGACGTGACCCCCTGTCGGATGAGGCGGCCCGGCGGATGCATGTTGACCACTTCCGCAGCCCCCGGGTACCCGAGCGGCCCCGTGCCGCGCATGACGAGAATGCTGCGGTCGTCGATGTCCGTCGCCGGGTCTTCCAGTCGCGCGTTGTAGTCCTCGGGCCCGTCGAACACGAGCACCCGGCCTTCGAAGGCGTTGGGGTCTGCCGGGTTTTCCAGGAACTTTTGCCGGAAGGGCTCGGAGATCACACACGTCTTCATAATCGCTGACTGGAACAGGCTCCCCTGCAGATGCAGAAACCCAGCGTCTTTCAGGAGCGGCTCGTTGTATGGCTTGATCGTCCGGCGGTCCCAGGTGTGCTTTCCTCGTACATTCTCCCCAATCGTGCGGCCGTTGCACGTCACCGCGTCAGCGTTCAGCTTTCCTGCGTCCAGCAGCTCCGCCATCACGGCGGGTAGCCCGCCGGCGCGGAAGTATTCCTCGCCCAGGAGCTCGCCGGCCGGCTGCATGTTCAGCAGCAGGGGGATGTGGAAGCCCACCTGGTCCCAGTCGTCGAGAGAAACATCCACACCGATGTGTTTGGCGATCGCATTGATGTGGATGGGCGCATTCGTGCTGCCGCCAATGGCCGTGTTGGCGACAATGGCGTTTTCAAACGCCTCGCGCGTCATGATATCGCTGGGTTTCCGGTCTGCGTGGACCATCTCGACGATCTGCAGGCCGGTTTCGTAGGCGCATTGGCCGCGCTCGCGATAGGGCGCAGGTATGGCGGCGGACCCGGGCAAGGCCATGCCCAGCGCCTCGGCCAGCGCGTTCATAGTCGACGCCGTGCCCATCGTGTTGCAATGGCCGACTGAAGGCGTCCTGTTATCGCGTCAGACAAACCCCAGTCTATCATCTATCCACAGTGCATGGCCTACCCGGTGGCGATGTAGTCGATGAACTCGTCGCGGTTGATCTCGCCTGCCGCATACCTCTCCCGTCCTTTCCACACGACCATCCCCGACCCAGAGCGTTCGTTCCCCACGTAGCCGTTCAGCATGGGGCCAACATTCATGCAGACCGCCGGTATGTTCTATAACTGTGAGCCAAAAATGTCCCACCAGGCACACCGGGAACACATACCACTGTGGCCGCCGCCATAAGCGCCGCCGGCGTCGTTTTGTCGCACCCCGTCAACAACACCACCCCATCCAACGGGTATCCGAAGAGAATCTCCACCAAGCCGAGGTAGGACAGGTTCCGGTCAATACAGGCCGTCGGGCGGCGGGTTGTCTCCTGGATCGGATGCGTCGGGAACTCAAAGGCGATGCCCCCTGCCGATCGAATGCCTTCGCGAACGCGCTTGACGAGTTCCAGATGATGGCGGTTGCACGGGGAAAGGTCGGAGCCCGACTGCGCGATGCCAATGATCGGCTTGCCGGACATGAGCTCTTCCCGAGTGATGCCGTAGTTGAGGTATCGCTCGACATACACGGCCATCATGCCCGGGTTGTCTTCGCAGTTGAACCATTTGGCGGACCGGAGCTTGCGACGGGGTCTGGCACCGGACGTGTTATCTTTCATGGAGGCGAGGGCCTTCTCCAGCTCTACAGTGCGCCTGCGCAGGGCCAGCAGTTCGGACTCACAGTCCTCGATGTTCACGGTTCTTGGGGCATCGCTCGCGCACGAACAACCCTGACATGAAGATTGCGACTGACAGGGCATGGTGAACAATCGAATTTCTAATTTTTGGTGGTTGCTGTGGTGTTGGTCGATCTAGGGTAATTCTTCCGGAGAGCGGAAATCACAAATCCAGCCCGAAATTGGGGCTATCTGCTTTTATAACAGGTAATTTTCTATCTTTGCTTGTTCAGCCTTCTTTCTTTGCTTTTTCCTGGTGTGACGAGGCAAATACCTTCTTTCTGCTGGGACAGAAGAGCGATTTCGCCGGACCTCACGGACAGTCGCGGGGGTATGGGATCAATGCCGAAGAACGGTCGGAGCAGCTCCGACAGCAAGTCCCGGATGCCGAAAATTTCATCTGGGCGATCGATCGCAGAGAAGTGGCGGAGTCCGTGGCGGCGGGACAGTCAGGCGATTTAAATAAGACAGAAGAGAGAGATGCGAAATTGCATGTCCGATGTCTGGTTCGGGCTGGTGGAGAGAAATCCTTTTTCGATGGATGGATACCCCACGCTATCCTTGGGGCAAGATGGGGGTCTCTTGGAGTACATCCACCATCGCATACAACAGATACATAGAATGGTTGCGGACAAAGTACACCATCCAAGGGAGAATAGGCCCAGTCGGCGATTTCACAATCCAGCACAGAGCAATTGCGATCCCACGCGCAAAGACGTGCGCTCATCGTCGCATCCGGCTCCATCAACACCGAGACTCTATGACTCCATCCAACCCGGTCATCCCAGTCATCCCACACTTCCCCACGCCGACATCAGATGAAACAACCCCAAGGACACCTTTCGTTCACCGCATAAAATATAATTGATCTTTAGGGTCTCTATGCACATTTCATGAAGACATCATCCGAAACGCCCGCGATGCCGGAGAAGAGTGGTCCAAATGCATCCAACAAATCTATCCTCGATGAACGAAGCCAGAGCAAAAGGTATAGAGTAAAGAAGACAGAACGAAAGTCATCAAAAGGAGAGAAAGGCATCTACTGAGTCGCACATTGTGCCGGCTCCCCCTCATCGTCGTCGTCCTCCCACGCAGATCCGCCTTGGGGATCGTTGGACCCAAACCCGTCCAGGTTGCCCTTAGGGTCGTACTCCACTTCATCCACCGTGTCAGCCTGGATCGGAGCATCGGGCTTGGGGAGCATTTCCCTCAGCTTCTCCAACACCGCAGGGCTCGGCTTCCACGTTTCATCAGGGAACTTGATGTTGACAATCAAATACAGATCACCGCGGGAGTCACTGCGCTTGATCGGCATGCCCTCACCAGGCACCTTCAGAACCTGCCCGGGCGACAAGACCTGGCCCGGCTTCACAGGGTGTTGAATCTCAATGCCCCGGCCATCGAGGTGCTTAACAACTACCCGAGAAAAGCCCGTCAGGGCCTCGGCCAACGTGACGTCGATGGTGGCCCGCAGGTCAGCGCCGGCTCTGGTGAAAGTCGGGTGCTCAGTCTCAACCAGGTGGAACACAATATCACCGGGCTCTTGGTCCGGCACTTGATCCGCTTCGCCTTCTAGGACGATCTTATCACCTTCCCTGTGTACAAATCAGCCACTGGAGTCCATGCAAACTCGCGGAAACGACCTACCTGGCTCCGCGGGGAATGTAGATTTCCAGGATCTTCTTCGCCTCCGTCGTCTTGTTGCCCTTGCACTTCTTGCACTTATCCTTGGGGCTGTAGAATTGACCGTCCCCGTTGCAAGTCGAGCACGCCACCGTTTGCTGCGTCAGGAACTGTCCCATCTGTCGCAAGACCTGCTTGTAACCTTGACCACCACATGTAGCGCACTTCTTCGGCTGCGCCTTCTCCTTTCCGCCCTTGCCCTGGCAGAGACTGCAGATCACGTTCTTTGTGCTGGCAAACTTGACCGTCTTGCCCTTGTAGAGATCCTCCAGAGTCACTTCGTACTTCTGCTCCTCGTTGGGGCTTTTGCGCGGTTTGTTTGGACGAGGGCCGCCCGGCATGCCTCCCATTCCCGGCATACCACCCATACCGCCCATGCCTCCAAACATCTGCGCAAGGATATCATCGAGATCCGGTCCGGCGCCCATACCCGGCTCACCGGAGCCGTTGAACGCGCTCATACCATGCGTGTCGTAGAGATGTCGCTTATCTTCGTCATAGAGGATGTCGTAGGCTTCCTGGACGGACTTGAAACGAACTTCGGCTTCGAGACGCTCTTCTTCGGGGACTTTGTCGGGGTGGTTGGCGAGTGCAGCCTGTTGCATCACAAGCGGTCAGTCCTGTGTACCTCCTACTGGGACGCGACGGGGTTGTACCTTGCGATAAGCCTTGCGAACTTCATCTTTCGATGCGCTCCGGGAGATTCCCAGGACCTCTGCGTTTCAACATAGTCAGTGGTAGTGTTCCTCAGTGATGAAGATATGCGACCAGTGAGAAATATATACCATAGAGGTCAACTTCGACTTCAGGCACTAGAAGTTCGCGTTAGCGTAGTTGTATTGATTTTGCGGAGAAGAGACACATACTGAGAGCTGTGTGACGATCGCGAACGGATGAGGCCGGTGAGGAGAGTTACACGGTAGATGTCCCGGCGGAGGAAAGATAGAGGAGATGAACCCAATATATAACAGGAGGAAGGCGCGAGGTGAATGAAGTTTAAAGAATCGATCGAAATCATCGCCGTTGCTTTTACTGCCCGAAAATTCAGTCCGCCTTTGCCGCATCTTCCTCTTTGGGTTTAGCCGGGGTCTTCGCCGCAATCTCCGTCAACACCGACAACTTCTACTTCTACACTTCTTTCATTGACCATTCGTGCATTCACTACTACTATGAGACGACCAACCCCAGGGCTTCTCGCCCGTCCGCTCTGGATCTGCACCCGCTGCAGAGCCAATTACTCCTCCGTCGCCTCCAGAGCCGCCTCCGGCAACAAAAAGACCAATCTCCCCGATTTCCCGGCGAGAACGCGATTCGCCCCGTCGCCCACTGGCTACCTTCATCTGGGCTCCTTGCGAACCGCATTATTCAACTATCTCCTGGCCCGGAAAACAGGAGGCCAGTTCTTGTTGCGCATTGAGGATACCGATCAGGTGCGATTGCGACAGATCGCGACACAGTATCCTCAGATCCAACAAACGCTAACGACAGAGCATAGAAACGGACAATTCCCGGCGCAGAACAGCGCCTCTACGATGATCTTCACTGGGCGGGCTTACACTGGGATGAAGGTGAGCTTGTGCGGCGACTTGAACGCGCAGCGTGGTGTTAATGCGTAGCAGGTCCCACTGTTGGCGGTCCTTACGGTCCCTACAGACAAGTATGAACACACGATAGCTATCCACCACATCAGAGCATAGCCTAACTCTCACCTCGTCAGTCCGAACGCACAGCCATCTACCGCAGCCACGCGCACGACCTGATCAACGGCGGCCACGCCTACCGCTGTTTCTGCTCCGCAGAGCGCCTCGACGCCTTCGCCAGACACCGCAGCCACGCCGGCCTACCCCCGGGATATGACAGAAAATGCGCCGACATCTCCGCTGAAGAGTCCGAGGACCGAGCAGCACAGGGCGAAGCGCACGTCGTGCGACTGAAGGTGGACGGATATCCGATGTTCAACGACCTGGTATACGGCAAGACGGGTCAGAATCGCACGCCCAATAAGCTGGATCTCATCGACCGCGTGTACGACGACCCCATCCTGTTGAAGTCCGACGGCCACCCGACCTACCATCTTGCGAATGTCGTAGACGACCATCTCATGCAGATCACGCACGTCATCCGCGGCACCGTACGTTCAGCCCACGCACTAAAAGCTCAGAACTGACCCGACACACCAGGAATGGATGCCCTCCACCCCCCTCCATGTCGCTCTCTACAACGCCTTCAAATGGACTCCCCCGCGCTTCGGCCACGTCCCTCTCCTCGTGGACAAGTCGGGCCAGAAGCTGAGCAAGCGCAACGCCGACATCGACCTAACTTTCTTCAAAGACCAGCAAGGCATCTTCCCCGCGACTCTAGTGAACTTTGCCGCGCTCCTCGGCTGGTCGCACACCCAGAAATCAGACGTCTTCAGCCTGAAAGAACTGGAGGATATCGTACGGCCTTTCGCCCCGTCTCACGGTTATCCACTCGCGCAAACTAACCTAACCCACGCAGTTCACCCTCAAAATCACCCGCGGTAACACAGTCGTCGCCTTCGAGAAACTCTGGTTCCTGCAAAAGGCCCACGCACAGCGCTTCGCCTCGACCGGCGGCCCCGAATTCGATCAGATGGTCGCAAGAGTCTCGCAAGTCGTCGAAGACACCTATGCCCGCGAACAACTGTACGCGTCCTTCCCCCCTCCCAATTAAGGCTTCACTTCTAACAACCGACAGAGCGCCGATCCTCCAATCCCGCCCGTTAACAGAATACATCGCGCCACTCCTCCAAGCCGACGCCAAATCCTTCACCAGGGCAGAGGACTTCGTCACCCGCAACGCCACCTTCTTCACCACCACAGTCGATAGACCACCATACACCCCCGCCTCAGGGGAGAGTACAGTCCCAATGACCGCCCTCCACACCGCCGCCGCAGCCCTCAGCCTTGTCCCCGACTCGCACTGGACCGTCGACGCCCACCGGTTCAACATCTCCTCGTACGACGGCAGCGCCGCCATCGCAGATCCCGAGTCGACCGCAACGCAGCACGATGAGAAGGCGCGCGTCGCAGCAGACAAGACCTTTAAAAAGGAACTGTATCATTACCTGCGCTGGGCGCTGTCGGCGTCCGCCCCGGGACCGGGGATCCCCGAGACAATGGCGATCCTGGGCCGGAACGAGTCTGTGCGGCGGTTGCAGGAGGCGAGGGAGCTGACGCGTGAATTGGCTGCGTCAGCCGATGCTGGTGCGCAGAAAGTCAAGGGGGCGCTCAAGGAAGGGGATGTTTCATGGATGGGATCGCTTGCTCCGCGGTAATTTGAATTATCCTAAGAGGATGTCAAGATGTACTTTATATGTATACTATGCGACTATCGGCGGAATCCAGCTCGTCTACACCCTCGTATGAGGAACTATAACGGAGATCCATTCCTAAATCCATAACAGTAACGCTGCGCTGATATCAAGCAAAATCGAAAAGAGTCAAAAGCTTGCTATGCGACTCATACAAGGACAACAATAGATCAAAAGAAACAGCCACTCCAAACAAAGGAACTTGTTTCCACACTGGAAACTAGATTAACCAGTTGAGAATGACCAAGTCACGGCTCGGCATTTCCGTCTTCTCCCCACGCGGGAAGACGCACAGTCAAGCGTACAAAGCAAATCATAATACAAGAAGGCAATAGCAGCGAAAGACATCGGCTCATGTCATCAGTTGAGGCACCAGCAGCAAAAGAGGGTGCTGGGAAAGGCAAACACAGGAACAGCGCTGAAAAGACCAAGGACGATAAGAGCGGGGTATAATCCCAAATTTTCACAGAAGAAAGCAAATAAAAATTAAGTCGTTTCCGTTGCGGTCACTCGAGTAGCGAAGCCCGGGAACACCAAGAAGCGCAAACATTGGCCGTGAACATTCACAAAGAGGTCAATGTATTAAACATTCCCAAGGTCGATCGTAGAGTCGTCATCTCGAGTAATATCGTAATCACATCCTTCCGGAAGCGCCTGGAGCAAGAGAATACAAGAATTGAACAGTAGCGTTGAAGGCTTAGTCGAGGCGTCTAATAAGCCTCCATGTCATCCGTCCACTCTGCATCACTGCCGCGAATACGCAGCATCTGTCCATGCTGGTGGACGGCGGGCTCATCAGGGCTGACGCTGCGGATACCCTTGGCCTTCTTTCCACCCAGGGAAATCGGCTGGTTGTCCTCGGGGGCTATTCTCTTGCCATGAGCAGCAGAGAGCTTGGCGTAATAGACTTCACTGGCATCTGCTTCAGACTCGGACGCATCGTCGAACGTCTCCCAGTTCTCTGAGCCCGAATTCGTGGTGGTGACGGTCGAGGAATTGGACACTTGCCGAGGTGCTGGAGGTGGAGCAGGGCGCTGCAGGTAGGGGTTCGGTCGGGGGAAGGCTTGTATCGAAGAGTTCAAAGACAACGAGGAGGCGGACGAATGTGACGATTGGGAAAATCCAGCAGATCTCTGGGAGAAGATGGATGAGCTCATGAAAGAGCGTTGGTTGCGGTCGTCGTAGACATCTTCCGGACTAACGGGGCGGACAAACGCATTGGAGAGAGCACTAGCACACCGCGGGGGTTCAAAGTTGTAGCTTCCACGCTCGTCTCGGTTCTCTCCACCCGTCAATGCGCGCATTCTCGGAGGTGGTGCGCGAGAGCCGGGGATCTTTCCGCTCATAGTGTTCGAAGAGTAAGCCCCAGGGGTCCCACGACGGTCAGGTGAATTGTTGCCATGCGGCATGTTACTCAGAGGGACACGGGCTGGGATTTTGGTAGGCGACTTTGCTCCCCCTCTGGAAGGTCCAATCGTGTTATATTTGGTCGATCCAGCTGCTGTTGGCGTCTTAGTAGCCGAGCGCGGTGGTGGAGGTCCTCTCATCACACTGCCAGGACGCGAAGAGGCCTGGGACCTGACAGAGCCGCGCGTGCTGCTGGGAGGAGCGGAGGGTGTCTTTGAACGAGGCGGAGGCTTGGTGACGACCGGGGCGAGTTCATCGAGATATCTCTCGCCGTGGACGAGGAAGGGTCGCCCGTACTCCTCTTCCCACCGTTCCAATTCCTTCCGCAAGTCAGCCTCCACTTTGGGCAGCTCTTTTGCAATTCTCTTGCGCATCTTTTCCTCTCTTAGGAGTTTACCAGGATCCCGTCTCTCCCCCCTGTTTCCACGGGCCATGAGACGAGATGCATCCTGGCTGGAGATGGCCAACGCTTCACGTTCCGAAAGAAGACTGCGGTGTCTATCAATAAGACTAAGGGTGGGTGCGCGCTGCTCCTTCAAGGCCTCGAGACGCGCAATCTCGCCTTCGTGGGCTTCGAGCAGGGCGTCACTGTAAACATCGGAGAATGCTGGGGTAAAGTCGAGCATCTCCTCTTCGGAGAAATACAGACTATCCCAAAGTTCCTGGAGGCGGCAGCGGGCATCCTCCACGAAGAGGTGCAGGTTTTGCCTCTTCAATTCGTTCAGGCGTGCCAGCTCTTCTTCGAATTCGTTGATAGTTCGGAGGCCACAACCACGGTTGGCGGCGAGGAATGCCTTTCGATCACCTTCCTCCACCCCAAAGCGTTCCCAGAGACTCTCCACCGCATTCCGGAGCTCCTTCAACTTGCGCTCGCGGCCGCGCTTCTCCTCCAGCAACTTCTCCCGCTTTCCTACCAGGCTAGCCAAGTCGGATTCATGGAGGCCCAGCTGTTCAGGGGACTCGCGGTAGTTCTTAACGATGTTGGAGTCGGTCTGCACCTGGGGAGTTCCAAGCTCAGCCCAGAGCTTGATAATCTCCTCGCAGGTGCTCTGGACGAATTCGAGCCGTCGGTGGTATTCTTCGTAGACTCGTGTGAATTCGTTGTCTAGCGCCGTGACGTATGACGGGGAGAGGTCGAAGCTGGGAGCAATCGAAGAGCCTGGTGCGGTGGGGGGAAGGTCGATGCTGACGAAGGAAGGCTCAAGATGAGACGAATATGATTCAAGGGCTTCGACGAGCTCTGTAAAACGTCAGTGACGGTCGTAGAAATAGAGAGGCACCCGGCACATACTCTTAACCTGTTCAAAGCGTTCGCGATGCAGTTTACTGAGCGCGGAATGTTTCTCGCGCAGGAAATTAAGACAGCGATTCAGTGGGTAGGAGATGCGCAAGTCATTGTGGTCCAGGTTGTACTGGCCGTTGGCTTTCTCATCTACTAACGACTCTTCCATTTGTTTAATGGCGGTAATGAGCTGGTGTGCTTCTTGTGTCATCTCATTTTTCTCACTATGTTGGGTCAGCGACAGTAACCGAAGAGGATGGCTCCACCGGGAGATGGGGGCAATTGACTTACTCATCCACAAGCTTGAGATGATTATTTAAAGTCTCCGACAATGCGTTGAAGAGCTGCAAGTATTTGTTAACATGGTGGATACGGGACGAGTGGAGCTATCCGTCATACCTCTGCTTCACGGGAGTCGCGCTCATGGCCAGGAATACCAATCTCATCGAAGATGCCATGAAGCTGAGAGACAATGTTGTTGACCTGGGTGGTCAGGTAGCTGGTATCGACCGCCATTGCGTCCAGTCCCCAAGTCCGGGGAAGTATGTCGTGTGTTGTTTGTCACCTGGAAGATGGGGGATAAAAAGAAAATATCACAAAGAGTGTAAGGTCAGTCCGTCATGCAAGGCTTTCAATGACCCGCCTGCGTCTCCAAAGTGACTGACAGCTGCAACCAAACAAAGCAGACCGAAGTGACGCGACGCGAAGCTGCAAACCACCCGAATAAACGACTGACCATCCACGAGGGAACTGGAGAAAGGGGGGAAGGAAAGGTAACCGCGCGGCGCAGGACTTATGGAGAGACAAAGAGATGCAGACGCATGTAAGATCGGAGAGGAGATCTGAGATCTAAATACAGCGCGCGACGAGGATGAGGAGAGGAGGCTGAACAGGGAGGGGAGGAGAGAAACAATAATATTCAGCCCTGGCGATGCGCAAATCGAGATCCAAAAGCGGGCGCTGTTGATGGCGCCCGGTTACTCGGGGCAACCGCTGACTCATCCCGCCCACCGCTGGATTCTGCCAACGCTATCTCACCGCCTGGGCTGCTATCTTCCCCAGCTTCCAACGTCACTCTCATCTCCAACGCCATCTGTCCGCGACATAAAAACCCACAGTTCCGATCATCTTGATACATTGCACCGGACGAATTCCCACCGATCTCCCACCGAACCATCCATCATGCAGCAGGCTGCCCTGCAGTCCTGGGGTTCGTTCCTTCCCCCACCCCACATAACAGACAACCTCACTAAATACCTGCCCAGAACTCGAAAATGCCGTCAGCCTCATAGACCCGTCCCGCGACGCTCTCTACCAGTACGATGAGGAAACGCACAAGTCGCTCAGCGCCGCGCGCCCGTGGGCCAAAGACCCGCACTATTTCAAGCACGTGCGAATCTCCGCCGTGGCGCTGCTCAAGATGGTGATGCACGCGCGGTCAGGCGGGAACCTCGAAGTCATGGGCCTGATGCAGGGGTACATCCTGCCGGAGACGTTCGTAGTGACAGACGCCTTCCGGCTACCGGTCGAAGGCACGGAGACGCGAGTCAACGCGCAGGACGAAGCAAACGAGTACATGGTGTCGTACCTGCAGGCTTCGCGGGACGCCGGCCGCATGGAGAACGCGGTGGGCTGGTACCACAGCCACCCGGGGTACGGGTGCTGGCTGTCGGGGATAGACGTGTCGACGCAGGACATGCAGCAGATGAGCGGACCGTTTGTGGCGGTCGTGATCGACCCGGAGCGCACGATTTCCGCCGGCAAGGTCGACATCGGGGCGTTCCGCACCTTCCCCAAGGACTACACGCCGCCCAAGGAGGAGCAGGACGACGACGAATACCAGACCGTGCCGCTCAACAAGGCCGAGGACTTTGGTGCCCACGCCTCGCACTACTACTCGCTCGAGGTGTCGCTGTTCAAGAGCGTCCTCGACACCGAGCTCCTATCGCTCCTGTGGAATAAATACTGGGTGGCAACCCTCAGTCAGAGCCCGCTGTTTACCACCCGCGACTACGGCAGCAAGCAGATGATGGATTTGAGTCAGAAGGTCCGGCGCGCAGCGCGTGGGATTGAGACGAACACCTCGCGGGGCGGGGCGCCGACGGCTGTGAAAGATTCGCAGTTGGAGAAGGTCGTGCGCGATGGGCAGCGGATTGTGTCTGAGGAGGTCAAGGGCTTGTTGGCGGCGGAAGTGAAGATGAAGCTCTTCCAAGGTATTGGGGATCAGACTCGGACAGAGGCATGACGATTTTCGGGGAAGTGGGATAAATTTAAGGGACGATGAGACGACTTTCATGCTCTTTATAACTAACTACCAATGCTTTGTAGATCAAAGCAATGCTACGTACGATTTTTTGTTCGCACGCTGTTTACTGTGGCGAAGTAGAAGGCAGTATCAATCGACCTGTAGTCTGCAAAAATCTATCTTCTGTAAACTGATTTCTGTGAGACAGAATATGTAGTACTAAAAGTTATATATACTTTGTAGATGGCACCAATAAGTACAAGAACACAAAGTAAATCATAGATGGCCCCACTAAATCGGGACCTCTAACTCTCGTAAGACATCATAGCCAATCGTAAACGAGACAGCCTCTCGTCAGACCAAGCAAGTAAGTTTTGTACATTGAAAGCCATGGGCGGAGCCATTGTACAAGTGTATGAAACCAACTGATGGTAATATATGCGAGGGTATAAACAGTGAGCGTGGTTTTGAAGTCAAGGAAACGTGAGACCGTCGAGGTGACGAAGCACAAAGGAAATCACGACTTGGCTTCTGTAGATAGAGGGGGTAGGAGATAGAGAGGGGGAGGGTGAAGTATAGGGAACGAATGACAGCGAACAGAATGGGTATCAAAAACGAAAAGGTCGTTTTCTAGATCGTCCATGAGCTGCAGGAAGAGACCCGATCCAGACAGCGATAAGCTCGTCCCAACGCATTTGCGCAGGATCGTCAGCCCGCAGGCAAGGACGGGCCATGGCCGTACCAGCCTCAGTAGTATGAGATGCACAGTTGGTTGCCTTGAGTGGTGCGAGGGATCATCGTCAAGTGCAGGTCAAGTGCAGGACAGACGCTCCACACCCGAGGCGTCACAAGATGAGAGCGATAACCCTCAAGAGTGGCTTGTGAGATGCGTCGATCACCGCTAGGGCGATCTGATACGTCTCGCACTGTCGTCCGGCGGAGACCGATGGAGGAGAGCGGTGCAAGGGGTCGATCATTATCTAAACGACGCCAAATAATCGGCCGCATGAAGCAGTTGAGGAGCGCAGTGAAGTCGTAGCAGCAGCCAATCATCTGGATGGCTAGCATCTGGTGGAAATGATAGGCCGGCGGTGGCTGAAGCCGTCTCGGTTTGCCGGAGGATCGAGCGTCGTGTTGGTAAAAGCGCCACCGGGTGGTTGCACCACGGACAGGGATCTCCAGCCACACCCGCGCGTAATGGAGGCGGTCGATTGGCCGGATTACAGGAAGCCCGATTCAGACAATAGTCTACGTGGTAAGAATCATCCGGTTAGTCCTCAGTCCAGTAAATCAAATGAGAAAAACCCCATAAAATGAGCCCAATATTTTTAAACAGGTATGGGTATCGACGATCAACGGAAAGGGGGGAAACGGGGCAGAAGAATTATTTCGCAGACATGATGATACTGGCAATCGCCACAGTACTCATCATGTCTCTCCCAGAAGTAGCATACCTCGCAATCTTTTCGTCTTCCCGTTCTCGCGGCTCCACCTCCAGACTCCGGTCGTACATGTCATGGACATCGCCTGCCGCCTGCAGATTACTGAGGATGTAATCCTGCAGCTCGGGGACCGGCTGCAGGAGGTAAGGGACGTTTTGGTATTGCTGGATGTCCCGGATCACCTCGGCAGTTTTGGCGCGTTTGTTGAAGTTGATGAGTTCCGATGGCGTGAGGGACGGGATACCATCCTCAATGAAGGTCAAATCCGTAAGATATACACCTAAAACCATGTATGAGTCACTGAACTAGGGCATCAAATGCCGATTGTGTGGGGAGCGAAAGGGTTCAAAGATCCAGATTAGATCAGATCATACCGAAGAAAGGAATGCATGGCGGATTGGCCAGATGCAAGGTCTCACGATACTCGCCAAAGTTCTTCGTACTCGCCATCAGTCGGCGCATCTGCTCCAAGATCGCAGAGGTGCGTCCACTAACTTGGCCCCACGTGCGACCCAGTCGGTGGATAGGCGCCGTGCCCAGAGCAGAGATGATGGATGTCAGAGTAGAATAGTTGTTCAGCGCGCGACATTTCTATTGAGAGTTAGCGATCCCTGTTCAATGAACGTCGAATGAAGCCACTTACGTCCGCTACATTAACAAAGTGTTTGATCACAACCACCCGCTTCTTCACGTCGGACTGGTTGAGAATCATCTCCGCCACCCAGTTGGTCAACTGATTCGAGTGGAGGATCAAAGCCTTCACGTTAGTCGCCGGCTCCGGCTCGTCAGGTCCAACCTTCTTCTGCCAGGTCTTGTTGAGGCACTCGGTTGGCCGAATCTTCGAGTACAGACGGGACTCGATGATGGTGAGCTGACGAGCAAACTCCGTCGGGTCAATATCCAGGAACTTCAGCTTCTTCATGTTCTTGGGGATGATGGGAGTCGGCGCTGCAGTTGCCTGTGTGGGGACCAGCCGCTTCACGGTGGTATCCTGGCCGCGGAGACGTTGCTCAATGACGGTCAGAAGCTGGGGCGATCCAGGGGTCTTGGTCGTGGCGATGGAATCCTTCGTAAAGGCATGCACACGCTCTAGAAGCTGGATGTGCGCATCATCGTTTGGTTCCATCCAGAAGTTCTCGAACCAACTCTTGAGGATGTTGACAACCCGGAAACGAATGGGCTTCTGCTTCCGATCGATCCACATCTGCATTTCATCCTGGTTCAAACCGAACGGAGGTTGGATGTTGAATCGCTGAGTCAGCATCTCAAAGAGCTCGGATGCGGTGGTGAAAGAACGATAGGTGAGAAGGAATGTATTGTTAAAGGAGGCATCCAATTTATCGTGGCGGGTCAGATGCTCTACCAGACCGGCCAGAGTTCCGCATTTGAGCGTAGGCACGTCGTTCTTGGTATCGTAAAATACCTCGCCTTCGTGGTCGATCTTCAAGAACCATGGGGTCTCCTCCGGTTCCCGGACGGGCTCCCGGATGGGTTCACGGGTAATCGCAGCGGGGGGAGCTTGTCCAAAGAATCGCTGGGCCTTGTCCATATTGCGTCGCACCTTGGTCGGCTTCTCCACGGCATACGACGACGGGATGCCAATGGACTCATCGGCAACTCCAGCCCGCGAGTCTCCGCGGGAGTGCATACCCTTATTGAATCCGTCGATTTCTGCGTCCAACCGGCTCTCGCTTCGGAACACCGTCGTAGGGTCAGGCACCTGTTCGAGAAGGAGGGAAAGCGAGAAGCCGATCTGGGAAACGTAGTTCTCCAGCTGTCTGGTGACACCCCGCACGGCGTTCAAGCGATCTTCGAGAGAATCACCCCGCAATTCAGCCCACTCGTCGCCCAGGGGCGCAGTAACAGCCTGACAGCTCAAGACAAAATCGGCGATCGCATCATAGGCACGTTGTTTTTGTAGGCTGAAATCAACCAACTGGGGGTTCTGGAAGCTAGTGCCCAACGGCGCCAGGTTGATTGATTCAACCGACGAGATCCAAGGGCGGAACTGCTCAACAACCTTGATGGCCGCAGCCGAGACAGAATCGCCAATCTGACGGTGTTCGGACTCTGTGACGATCTTCTTCTGGTTGAGCGTTAAACGTTCCTCGAGCCGGCGGATGCTTCCTACGAACGATCGGCGGAGGATATCAATGTGATCCAGCAGAGCCGCGTCCAGAACTACCGAGGGCTCCGCGCGCACATCACTCGCATCCTGATCCAAGAACGATGTCGGGCCGGAATCATGCAAAGTGACAGCATTGTTCTGCCACCCGCCACCGGAGTAGCTCCCGACCACAAAACCCGGCACAATCCGACGGATGGAGTCGCCACGCTGCTGCCGAGCTACCTCAACATAGCCATAGACGCCCTGCATGACCCCGTCGGCCTCCTGCAAGCATTTGTTGGCGGAGTCGGGGCTCGGCCAATCGGCGGCCGCAATATGCGACGACAGGACCAACTTGGAGAATTTCGACATCATGTCCCTGAAATGAGGGTACAAGGCTTTGTTGGTGGAGATGATCGATGGATTCCCAGAGTGATTGTCCGTGGTATCGGACCCAGCGGCAAGAAGCATCCGCAAGTGATCGGAAATGTCCTCCGCCTTCCTCACATAGTCTGAACGGTCCCCGCGGAGTAGCGTCTGGCGATAAACTTCGATTGCCTGGCGCATATTATCGACGAGCAGTGGCCACGTCAGGGGGATCGAGGCGCCATCGTCCACGAAATGAGAAGGTGCTTCGGACGAGATGGAGGGTCGGTGGAAATTGTCCGACAGCGAGGTCGTGCTGCTGGAGGCTGCCATCGAGCCATAAGTCTGTTGCGTGTGACGGTTGGTGCCATCGATGGGCTTGGGCGGGTGAAGGGAATCCATCGAGGTTGCGGGGGACACTCCATCAATGTAGGACCGCCGTCTGCGGGACATCGAGTCGTGCGACGCAAGCATCAGGGACTCCCCTTCCGCCTCGGACGCGGAACCATCATAGTCGTCTTCATCCCGCTCGAATCCTCGAGCCATCATCTCCGGCGGAGGTCGGGTCTGGTCTGGAACGTAGAAGTGATTCCGATCGTAGGGGCCGGTCTCTGTCTTGGAGGGGTTTTCGAACGGCAGTTCCATAGTGCTAAACCCCGTAAGGGTGTTGAAGTAGAACAGACGGCCGTCGGGAGTGGCTTGCGGGATCCAAAAGGCGGCCTCCTCCTGTTCGTTGGGGGGTCCCGTGCCCTCAATTGGCAAGATTGGCTGGGAGTCGCGCGGATTTCCTGCCGAGTCCACCTCGTCGTCGTCGCGCTCCTCATCGTAATCCTCCTCGCCCGCACCGGAATCGGCGCTGGCGTCGGCGTCCTCGCGACCGTGTGAAACCTGTTCCTCCTCCAACTCGCTAAGGTCGGTGATGATGGTACAATAGTTACTGGGGAACCAGCCCCGCACGCTGTTGTTGATGACGCCGTCCCACCAGCCGGTCTCGAGCTGGTTCAGAACCTGGATCACGTCCCCTCGTCGGAAACTGAGACTGGTATGATCGTCGGCATCGTAGTCGTACATGGCCCGCACAAACAGGGCGGGCTCGGGTTCCGGACTGGGCGTAAAGCGACCATCGGGGGTTAATTTCATGGGCGATCGGTGTCGCTGAGGGGACTGGTCGGTGACGGTCTGATGGAAAGAAAGGCTGCTCCCACGGCTGCGACTCCGGTGACCGGTAGTCGGGGTGGAGACTCGCTCCTCAGGGTACTCGACAGCGGTCGCGATCGTGTTTGATTTGGTCGCCAGCATTGACCGGGCGTCGGCGGACGCCAATGGCTCTGCCACAGAAGTTTGGTACATTGTGAGGGGAGGTTGGAGAGGGGGAGAGCAGTGAGCGATGTTTTTCGGAACGGTGGTGAGATATTGCAATCGGGGAGAAGAAACGGAGGGTTCGCGTGGCTACGTCCCCTGCGACAAATGGCTGGACGAGCTCAACGAAGGCGATTGTTCATGACTGATCCAGCAAAGAGAACGGAGAAGGTGGCGGTGGTGGTGAATGAGGGTTGGAGAGTGAAATAGAGGAGGGGGGAGACAGAGCGGAGGAGGTGGTGGTGGTGGTGGAGGGGGGGAAGGTGGAGGAAAAGGCGGCGGCGGCAGTGGGCTGCAGAATCACTATAAGAGTGGTGGACTCTCCCGTGGTCCAGCTGGGACGGTACCTTCAGGAGTACCTAAACCCGTCGTAGGCGGTGGTGGCGAGGACTTTGCCACGGAAGACAGGGACTTGAGATCGGGTGAATGAGATGAAGTGGAGGTAGTATCTTCTGGACGTTTCTCAGGACGAGAGCAATAGGAGATGGGAAAAGAGAGAAGGTCACAAAAGGAGAGGGAGTACGGAGTAGGGAGAGGGTGAGAGCGAGAGAGAGTTTTAGGAGTAGGAGTAGGGGAGATGGTTTACTCCGTAGTGGTTCAGAGCGGTTTAGTGACTGGTGGGTGGTGGTGGTGGGCAGATGGAGACCGCCAGGATTGGATGACGCTGCCCGTACACTCGTAACTTTACCCTTACCATCTCATACCATTGGAACCTTTGATGGATGGATGGAGTGAGGCTGTTCTGTCCCGTTTTTCGGTTCTCTAACCACCGTTGGTTATGGGTTGATTATTGTGGTTGATAATAGTCGATGTTATGATTCCACCAACTGTTCTACTTCAACTGACTTTGAATAGATTAGTAGGGTAAGTACAAGAACAGCTAGTAAATGCCTCACCTCACGATCCAACCTCACCAACATAACCTACCTACTACCACCTACCTAGAAATGGTAACACTTCCATCCAACCTAGGTCCGCCCTGAACTCTCTCTCTCGTGCATCGGCAGTCGTCCCATACGTCCCCCCGAGGAGCTAAAAGGCTATCCGCTCCAGGACGGGCGTCGGATGGATGGATATTGGCTGGATTCTACTCCGTAAGCCATTGGGGTCCATCGTTGTCAGTCGCTTCGCATGACGATGGATGCAATACTACGGAGTACTATTATTATTATTGTTATTGATTGACAATGCCCCTCTTGTGACAGACACTACTGACTTCCCAGGCCCTAGGCCTACGGAGTCTGGCTACGACTATCTATCTTGGAGCCTCCTCCTCCTCCTCACCAAAATCGGACCATCCGACTTTTTCCCGCGGGTCGAGACCTTATAATAATCCTTTTATTGGGGGGAGAGTTTGGTCTCTCGTGACATCTTCCCGTACCTTGCCTAGGTACAGTGTCCGAGGTAATACCTTATGTCCATCCCTCCATCTGTAGAGACAGCTGTACGGAATAGACCCGGGACATGCACTCCCAGCCACGCTGCAGGACCGTTGTTTGGTACAGGTATTTAGAGCCTCGTATTCTGTGGTGACTTCCCACCGAGTGGGGTACCAGGTAATCTTCCCCGTTCTTGACTCGCGCGGTCCGGTCACCCAAAGAAACACGCCAGTTTGCGATTCCTCGTAGAAGAATCTCCCAGTGCCCGGGAGTCCAAGTCCGCACGATCTCATGCGGCTTCGCATCATCCGGCATGGGGTTGAAACAAATGCGATCGAAGCGTCACAATACTTCCATCCACTCTGCTATCTGCCGTGGCGCAGATCCGGACATCCCACGGAGAAACGGCGACCTCCGTTCAATCATTATCTTCAGGTTGAGGCAGATCACTTCACGTCCATCAGAACGGTATTCTCATTACCTCTCCTCGGTGGTAGATAGGAGTCCTCCCCAGCGAAGTGAGGAGGCCCCGTCGCAGTCCGGGCCCTCCCTCGAAAGATGAATCACATCCAATGTGATAACACAACCCCCCAGCCGAGCGACGCGAGGATCTCCCAGGCGGCAGGTCGCAGGAAGGCGCCCAGATAATCCACGGTGGCATCAGACGGAGGTCGGCACGAAAATGCGGACATGTTTCCAATCCATCGTCACGATCGACAGGGCAATAGATCGTCCCAGCTATAGCCTATATCCGCCGGCCGTCGGTCCAGAAGGGAATGATAGAAGAGGCGCCGCAGGACATCGCCTCGTCATCGGCCTTGTTTCGCTCCAAAACAGCCTATAATGGAGTCATGACGAAAGACTGCATCACTCCCATCACCCGGGACGGTTCCTCGGTTGGTCGTAGATCAGGGGTATGTGTCGAGTCAAGAGAGAACCGCTTCCCTCCAACCGTCCAGCGTCCCGAGCCCTGACGTCTAGTCCGTCAATTATTGGCCCTGCTTGGGAGGATTCCTGTCAAAGCCTGCCTCCAGGATCGGGACCGAACGTCACTTCCACTGCCATCAGTCCGTCCTGAATGTAGTAGTATTCTTATCCTGTAGCAGGGCGTCTTCGCTCGAGCCACCTCTCTTCCGACCTATCCATGCAACCCATCCACATCTCCAATCTTCTCTCGCCTCCATCACCATTAAACCGTAGAAACCCAACTTCTATAGGGCCCCCAGGTCACAGCACGGTCCCCAAGCAAGTCACACCACCTTGCAGGTGATCTATCAGCACGCCACAACGGGCAACCAAGACTCCTGTGGCGTTCAACGTCAAGCGCAAATCATCTGCCCATCTGCATTTATTGATGTATACAACGGATACTTTAACCGCGGTCGACTGATCTCTTGACGGAACGCCCCTGGAGGGACGTGCGTGTCTCCGTTTCAAGGCATCGTCCGCGTGTTGTCTCCAGCGGCTCAGGCCGGCTTGGAGTCATAGGTTGATACTGCTTTTCCGATGTAGCCGTCCTTATCGGAAGCCGGTCCTGTGCGCGCGCAAAATGGGAGAATAGATGAGTCGATAGATCACAAGACACCCCGCACCAAGCCTTCGTTTACAACGGACGTTGGAGGCTCTTAGCGATGCGTCTTATCAGAAGTACGCCGTTGAGCAAGCCAGCCCGGTCGAGGCGTCCTGATACTACCCGGTATCTAAATTGATCCTTCCTAGCATCAATCCTGCTTCTATGTAGTGCGGGAGACATGAGCTGATTTTGCATGTATCAGCCTGACTCTCCCAGGTTGCATTTGCAGCGTAGGAAAGGTACATGGATAGTCGAAGAATTACTGGGTAGACACTCTATGGAGGAACCCTTTTGGATAAATGAAGAATGTCCATTGTCCCTTTATTGTTAGTTGCTATGCTAGCATTAACCTATAGTTATAGACCATCCTGTCAGTTAGTACATCAATAAGTTCTCTGGCCACGTCAGTCAACTGGAGATATATTCTCCGACTGGCCTATATACTCCAGTCCTGACTGAAGAAATGCACCTGCAGTGACACCATTCTGCATATTCACCGCTCCTATAGCAAGAAAGTCCCTGCTCCTTGTAACACGTCTAATTAGTTTGGTTGAAGATTTTGCATCTTGTAATGATCAATGCCTGCATTCACTCAATGTTCCCCGAGAGTCAGCCCATGAATTAACCTTGTACACGGCAGATATTACGCATAAGCTCGCACAAGGAGCTGATAATTGTAACACGTGAGTTATATTAAATAATATAACCATCTCTACACTTTCTTACAACAATTATTAGTATGCTGACTTCCATCCGCGTAAGAACTCGCATGCTTTTGACCATTGAACCATCACGTCTCTGCAGTAACTGTTTCATTGCAGGACCAAGTTTCATAGATGACGCAGTAAACATCAACTAGGTTCAATACAACTCGACTTATGGAGATCCCTTTCTCATGGCGCAGTAGAATATCTTTGACTTATTGGGCACTTTGCAAGGGTCTGGCTTTATGCATCGCCTCGCGGTACAACCTATCTCTACAAGTTGACGGCACCGACGATATGGTGCAGTCGGACCAAAGTGAACTCGAACATTTGTCCAAACTCTCACTTAACAGATATTTTCTTGCACTTGAAGGGAAGGGAAAATATATATATTTGACCAGAACACCGGTATATAAAGACAGTGTTACCTCTCTGGGATATTAGTTCAGGTCTAACTAGCACATACTTCACATCCTTACATCGACATGCGATCTCTAAAAGCCAATCTATCAATAAACCCGGTATCTCCAATAAGAACCGTCATATTGAGACAGAAAAGTATGCTGTGCACAGCTCTGTGCTCCGTTACATTCGCACGAGCCAGTTCGGATCCTCAATGGAAGATGCGGTCATACCTGGACCCAAACTTGCGGTAAGCATAAACAACTCATGGCTTGTCTCTCTTGCCCCTGCGTCCGGAAAGGCTTTCCGGGCCCGATGGATATTGATGCAAGGGTGGAGTGTGAGAGTAGATAGCCCCTCGCATGTAGGAATAGATAAAGCTTCCCCGGTTCCACCTTTAGTGTTAACGCATTGTGGAGGATGTCCTAATGTCTCGTATAGGTGTGTTTGACGGTTATTGGATGATGCAGAGCCTTGTTCTTTCCACAGCCTGAGAACCTTGGTCATTGTCTTGATTCTGACACGCATATACAGGTGACCGTGAAATGGCCATTCAGGCCGAGGATTCGCAGACGTATATATAAGTATCGCCATCTGCAATAATTTGAGGAACAATCTCTTGGTGCCTCTGTTAATGACAGAATTCCCTTGAGAAGTTCCACAATGCATCTTTCAAAAATATTAGTCCTGTCCGAGTCACACAATCCAATATAATCGACCTGAGGTGTCTGCAGAGTCCGGGCATGCTTTTCTTCAGAGTAGCAAATTGAGCACTCATCGGTAGTACTTTAGATCGGAACATTGATATCAGATGCTAACGCTTCCCACACAGTCAGAATGTATGGCACGCGCTGTTTCTCGGGAGAACTCCGCGGATTATCCATCTTGGAACAATTGCTGATTGATTAGAGGAAATAAGGGTAGTCTTGGGAG